AGAATCGCCCTGTATCGTCTGGTGCTCTTCCCAACACATGTTGAATCGGTGAATAACCGCGTACAACTTCTCTGTTGTTGAGGACACGAACACATTCCGACAGGGCATCTTCCATGGAAATATCTGGCATGTCGGAACATACCTTGTACAGCAACTCTTTTATTGCTTGTATACTGCGTTCACATGTTTCCAACTTCCAGTGTCCTTCGCCTGGAATGATATCCAGGAATATTTGATGTTGATCGCAGTACTCCAGCAACTCCCTACTCCGAAAAGCGCCATCGGGGTCTAAACGAAGATTCAAGGGGGTTCCAAAGTAGGATATCCAAGCTTCTTTGAGCACTGTGATGAACTGTGCGGCCGATGGGTGTTGTTTCTTACCTTTCGTGACGATTCGGGCCACCCGAAACCTAGATCCCTCATCGACAAACAGCACGAATTGAACGTGTTCACCTGTGTTTGGTTGTATGAAGTTTCCCACGTCTGCCGACAAAGTCGCGAACTTTGGTGGCTGGGGTTCAAGTGCCGCAACATTCCTGGGCTGCGGACGTGCACGTTCCGCGCATACGGAACAGGTGAAGCGCTCTGCTTCCTCAATTATTTTCTTGTGAACCCCTCGGCGTCGCAGCGCCTGAACAAGGTACTTGGTGGGGCTATGTCCGGTAGCCGAATGGAGGAGGTACAGTTTCTTGTGAATTTGGTCTTTGGTAAGTGAACATGGAACTTCCTCGTCAGCAGCGAGGATCCCGGTCAGATCACTCCGACATGAACCGCACTGGAGGTTTGCATCGTGTCGTTTTCCGTCTTCACAAACACACATCAAACCACGACCAAACAGATCGCAACCCTCAAAACAACCCTCCAGTTCTTTTCGAATCTCTTGGGGTGCGTCTCCTTGAAGGATGGTCTCACAAACCCTCCTAGCGAACTCCGGCGTGTAAAAAGCTGTTTGGCGTGTCAAAGAACCCTCACAACTCACGTGTGTCGTTTCCTTCTTACAAGTGCATGGGAGGTCCATACGTTGAGCCATGTGGTAGCTAGTAGACATGAGCTTCCAACCCTTAGAGATAAACCTTCCGGCCTGATCCCTTAGGTTCACCTGACAACCTCTAGTGGTAGCAAAATGCACACGGTACTTTCGCATCAGGTGCTGCACCAGAGGCAATCTCCATGCCTGGCATGTCTGAGGCCACTCCCAGGTCACGTGGAGTCCTCTTTGGATGCAGTATTGAAACACAATCGCTCCACCTACATATTGTTTGAGAACTTCACGGCGTTTTTGTTCCAGTTGTTCCTTCTGTTCAGGGGTTCTCTGGTTAATGTTTTGCATGACTGAGTAGGGGCTACACTCCATGGACAGCCAGGTGTGGTATGGGCGTTCTCGATCGATGCGGTCCAAGATTGAGCGGACACCGTCATTTTTGCTCAGATCGAAGTGGTTCCATATCGAAAGTCGCTGTGCGGATTTCTCCGAGCCAGTTATAGTGTGCATGGTGCTACTCAACAAACTCTCCTGGCTACAAGCGATTTCTAACAAAACACACCTTTCGTGCAGGGCCAAGGATTGGATGGTGTCAGGCAACATGGAATCTGTTTTCTGAGACAAATGTCTGTTCATTCCACTACTCAAACGTTTCGCAGAGCTTGCCTGTTCCATCCCTTCTGAGACATAACCATGTCTCAAACTATGGTCGCTGCAGCTAAGGTCTTTGCTAAGGCCCAAACTCACTGAGGCATCAGCTCGAAACTCTGGTCCGTGACCTCCGAAGGAACTGATCGTTGACCCTTGCGGGGCAACTCTCCTTTCAGGGCTGACATCTCCTCCTTGAGCTCCACCACGGTGTTGGCCAACATCTGGATCATCTCGTGTGTCTTGGGATCGGATCCGGGGTTCGGCTTCTCGTAGCCGGATGATGTCCCTGATGGTCCGGTCATGCTCTTCTGGGTTGTCGGCACCGCTGGATCTGTGTGAGATGAAGCTGCTGCCTTTCGTGGTGTGGCAATGTCCACTCTCTTCTTTCGCTCCTCCAGCCAATTGGCCAGGCGGTGAAGTCGGGGGCACGCATCGTCCCCGTTCTCCCATGAGGTGTCCATCACCCATGTGGCGTAGGAGCGATGACTGATCCAGATCTCTTCGTAGCTCAGGCTGGCATGCTTCCCGAACCCGACTGGGTCTTGGCCCCTCGCTGGAGCTTGGTCGTAGATGGCTGCCATGCCCTTCTGCATCAGGACCTTGATGGTCTCGGTCCCGGTCAGGGGCACTCGCAGAGTCTTGGAGACATGTTCCACCAGCTCGTGCTTCAGACGTTGAGCACGGTTCAGCTCGACCATCATCTGCCGGAGTGGTGTCCGAGTCTTCTTGGAATCGAACTCGGGCAGGCCTTGCTCCACTCGGAGCTCGGAAAGGCGGGTCTCGAGTTCCAGCGCGGTCCATTGTTTTGGAGGAGTCTCTCCCAGGTCCTTCAGGGCCTGGATGAGTTCTGGTTTCTTCATGGTGGGCATGTCCGCTGGAAATCGAGGAAGGCTGGATAGCCAAAGAGTGGTTTTCTGCCTCTCGAGCTGTTGCGGCTGCCGCGTGTGTGGATTGTTCATGTGTGTCATGTAGTTTGTGGTGGTATTTGTCTTGTGTGGTATCACAGTGTGTCGTTTGTGGATGTCCCTTTCCCTTCAACGACGAATCGACAACACACTGAAAATCACTCTCTTCAAAAACAACACGTCTTCCTTCAAGAGTTTGACTGTGGCTTGACTGTTCACCCAGGTCTGCAGCATACTGGTCCTCTCTTTTGTCGGCAGACGGCGACGAAGAGAGGAGTTGTCCCTAAATCATGTCCTTCAAACTGCAGACGGGCTCCTTAGCTGGTGAGGAGGCCTCGTACCAATCCTGGGTGAGGGGAATCAACTGATGGCCTGAACTTGACTGTTCAAGCTGAATTATGCGGCCTGGATCGAGCTTTCGAAAGCAAATCATATCATGCTCAAAATCGATGATAGCTCCCAGGGCTCGCAAAGTCTCTATCGAAAATAAAATTGGTCCTGAACCCTTATCTAAGGTGTGGACTTTCAACTGGCCGGACCGGCCACCGGCCTGGATGGACATCCATGCCGTCGACAGGCACTGGTCCTTGGAGGAATTTCCGAAGCCAAAAACTGGCCTCTGAGTGGTGTCCAGCTTTGAGAGTCCATCCTTTCCGCTCTGCTCTTGGTTGAGGCGCATGAGGTGTTCCAATGCCACGACAGAGCCCAACGTGCGTGTTGCACCACCGTCCACGACCGCTTTCCCTTGTAGGACAGCTTGTTGTGTCGTGATCTTTTCATTCGTGTAGTCGGTGGCGAGGACCTGATCTGTCAAGCAAATGAAGGGAGCTTGGTCGTCAGGTTCATGTTGGCTCTGGAAGCTCTTCTGCTTCTTGGGACATTCATCTGTCCTGTGTTGTCCTCCGCAACTCAGACACCTCGCAGAGCTTGTACTCGGGTTCTCCTTTCTCGCATGTCCGGGTGCACCTTTTCCGAAAGATCGACCTGGATTGCCGTAATACTGACGGCTCAACTTCACATACTGCTGTCGTGCCCGGGCTTCTCTCAAGGTCCTCCGACCTTTCTCCATCATAGCCAAGGCCTCCTGAGCATCTAACTCAGCTTCATTGACCAATGCCAACCCATCGGCATTGAGTCCTGTTGAGGCCAAGAGGCTCAGGTCCGTGCTTTCCAGGTCTCCGGTGAATGGATCATGGTCTTCTTCTTCCACAGTCCAGGCTGTCGCTCGACCACCCTGATCTCTCTTCCTGAGGTCTTCGTCGTTCCACTGGCAGCGTAGTTCTTGCGCCACTCTGTGGAATCGGTAGTCATTCTTCAGGGCGGACTGGATCATATTCTTCTCATTGGTGTCCAGTCCGGCGTCTTGTAGGAGGAACCAGCCTTGGACAAAGTCGGGTAGAAGTTGCACCCTGGGCTTGGCTTCGAAGTCTGTGTGCCATGACGTCTGGCTTGGTTGCCAGTCCCGGTCCTGCCATTGAGAGTCATTCCAGTCCCACCCATGAGCTCCCCAGTCTCGCCAAGTGTTCCAGTCCCATTGGTTTGAACCTGACGGAGTACGTTGCCCTGGATCTCCGGCTGACTCATTTCCTGTGGATGGAGGAGCAGATTGTTCCTCCTGTGCATCATGATACACTGGATCTTCTGGCGGTGTCAGGGGCTCCTCAATGGCAGGAAGGCTTCCTGCCTTGGAGCGTGGGGCATAGTGACTCTGTGCCCTCTGAAGAGTCTGCTCAGTACGGGCATAGAGCTCTGCTTTCCGAGTGATGTACTCGTTCATGGATTCATTGCGCTTCTTTCGGCTCTGTTTGAAGTATCGGTTCATGTACTCACTCATCTCAGAGAGCTGCGGCAGGCCAAGATGCTGGCGAAGGTGAGCTAGCAGGGTCTGAACCCCTCCATTGTGGGATAGCCATCCTGGACGCTTCGACATGATGATGCGTCTTGCAGTACCTGACAATTCATTCATGAGTTTTGGTCCACATAGGTACCGCTTGTGGTATGGCACGGTCTGTTCCCAGTGCTCCGCCAGCTCACTATATTCTTGGAATGTGCTCGCTGAGCCATCCCATTGGGGCACACCATCCTTGCTGCGCTCGATCGCTGTCATTGCTCGTAGGGGTCTAACACCTACAGCTATACAAATCAAATCTACTCGGACGCCACCTTGGGCTCCGCTACCATGTAAGCGGTCAGCACAGCCTACGTCTACCTCAAGTCCAGAGGACAAGGAAACCTACGGGGCTCTTCCTATGAAGTGGCTGTGCGACTTCGAACTGGCCCTTGGACAGCTTCTTTTGATCCACTTGACTGGTGGCGGTTGGACAGCAAACTGTCACAATGCTCGCATTGCATATATATATATATATATGTGTGTGTGTGCGTATCCTGTGCGAGCTTGTGACAAACCAAAGAAAAGAGCCGACCCAGCGCTTTCCCCACCGTCGGCTCGTTGAAACTCGGTCCACGACAAAGCCCAAAGAGGCGGGAATCCAGAACCTGCGGCCGTGTCGGTCAGAAGCGTTGGTCGGGCCATCGGAATGCCATTGGGGTTGGCATAATCCGTTTCTTTTGAAAGTTGGATGTGGTTCTTTTTTTAAAGTATACTCATTGAAACATCCAGCATGGTCTGGTTGGGAACACATGTTGTACAGAGATGTACAGGGTACAAAGATGTTGGGAATGGATAGGTGCATGTTGATTCACCGCGTCAGTGTGGTGTTTGAAGATCATTTTTCCTGAGCCGGTCTCTTGCACTGCAAGATGTTGACCGAAGCTGCATGAAGCTGCACAACAGTGACGAAAAACTGACCACTTTTGACCACCAGTTCATTTCTTTAGCACCGGGTCGCCGTGACTGCAGAAACTACTGTAAATCATCACCTGGTGCTGTGACAACTTGGCTGTTCGTGGTATATCAAACACTATCAAACACTCAGCAATCGGCTTGCCGACTGCACAGGTGGGAAAGGAGTGGTCCAAGTTGCCTGATGCACACTTATGCAGACCATCAACGTGAAAGACCCCAGTCTTCATTGACGCTTCATCGAATGCGGTCGGAGAAGAATCAGCAAGGAGCTACGTGAGCGACGGGTCGACCACGTGAGCTACGGGTCGATCCCGAAGAAGCTGGATGATCATCTCCCTTCACCAGAAGGGGGTGGTGAGTAGCAGCCACGCTCACTAGCGATGGTCTCCAACCCGGCCGAAAGAACCTAATAGCCATGGCCTCCAACCTACGTAGCGATGGCCTCCAACCCACGGGCACGATGAGACCCCCGGTCGCCCCCGGCCGCCCCGTAGGTGGGCAGACTGCGACACTCGCCTTCGCTTCTCCCCGGGCGACATCATCATGAGGCCCTCCTTCCAGCCTCGGAAGCACGTCCCGGTCGCGGGTCCTAGGGGTCTAAGTGGAGGGTGCAAATGGGTGCCAAGTTGATGCGAAACGAGCCCTTGGCATTCCAACCCCCCTCCAAAAAAGTAACAATGGCGAAGTGGAAGAGGGTGTGCTGTTTGGCTACCCATTCATGGGATGGGAAGGCTGCCAACGAACCTTCCTGTAACTGAAGTGCTGGCAGGTGCACCATCCACCCGGAGAGAAGTCCCTCCACTCTTCCTGCAAAATCTCCCGTGACTTTGCAACCGGGACTCCGGTCGACTCTGGTGGTGTTCGGGGAGTCTCTTAGTCTCTTTTCGTCCGGGATCTGGTCACTTTCCTCAAAAGTAGGATCAGGATCCATCAGAGATCTAGAGTCAGATGTGGAACATCTGGCACGTACTCCACATGAACCTCACCGAATACTCCACCTGCCCCATGATGTATTCATCTCCTCTCACCCCTGGCGCCACACAGGAAGCCCGGCCCCTGTACTAACACCCTCCACAGCTCCCTGCCTGGGATGACACTCGTCATCTTCACCTTGGTCGTCTCCTGCCGAAGGTAGGAACCTCAGCGCTCCAAGCCCCAGGCCCACCGAGCCCGCTCAGGAGCGCCCGCCACAGATCGCCCGTGCGGGCACCTCAAGAGGTCTTGAATAGATGCGGGGGTCCATAGTGAACCACCGAACTCGGCAATGGTGCCATCGAACTTCTCCATCCGCTGTTGAAATAAATCATCTGCCAGACCTGGTCCACTTGATGTCCGAGATTGAGTTTTTGGAACATACTCTGGACGGATAGCTTCTCGCCTATGAACTGAAAGAGCTTGAACATATCTGTTGTTCAAAGCTTGCAAGCTCTCTGGACAAGACACGAAGGCCCACTCGTGTACCAGTTGCATGGATTGTTTTGTCAACACGAATGTCTTGCTCGCACCAGTGAAAAATCACGACAAAATCTTCACGTTCAACTCCCATCGATTTTCGTGAAAAAGCAGGCAGGAAACCCAGACCCAACCAGAATCAACCAGACACAAATGGTTGTTCCAATATGGCTTGCTTACTCCAGAGTTCCCTTCTTTACAGGGTGGTTGGGACTCTGGAGTCTCTCATCCACGTGTCGAGACGCCGGTGGCGAACTCGAACCCCCACGAACCAGCCCCCCCCCACCCGCGGTCCGTTTGGCGTGGAAAAAGGGATCCAGGTGGCCAGGCTATCAATCAGTGATCCGTCTTCAGCCTTCCACCCGGTATACCTTCCGTCGCGGACGAACGGGACGAGCGGCACGAGCGGAAAAAGCGCGCCCGAAGCCTCTTTGGCCGTGCGGCCATGCCGATGTGGGGTCATGGAAAGGGTCGTACACTCCGACGAAAGACATCATATCGGTTTCATGGAGGCTCATGAAAAGCCTCCATCACTGGAATCTGCCAGGAAGACCAAGTCTCACCCTAAGGTTTTCGGCATCCAGACGGTCACCGGCTTAAAGCCTGGTCTTGGGGTCTTTGGATGTATCGCCTTCCGAGTCTTCGGTGTCGAAACCAATCCACCTGGCACGCGCCAGGTGGTTTCGTGTGTTGGTCATGTGGTCAACCACTCTTGACCTAGCTGACACCAGTTGACCTGGCTGGTTGAAGTTCTCCTGAGAGTACCCTGAAAGAAAGACTTTGTTGGGCGTCTGGCTGGTTGATCCGGACGAAGCTGCAATCGTCACTTCGGAGTTTAGGGCATCCAACATGTCATGCGCCTGGGCTGGGCATTCATCTACGACCGTCTACACTCTCGAAAACTAGTATAGACCCTGACAATGGCCCCCTGGAAGAGTGTTTTCCTCTACCAACCAGGGGTTTTCAGGGTCCATGTTAGTCTTCCAGGGTGTAATTAGAGGTACCACACCACGCTGTCTATGGGTGGAGAATGATTTCACTGACCCGGCTGGCGATCTTGGAAAGACCCGGCGTAAGACTGCATTGCGCAATCTCCCTGAAGTGTTCATCCGTGATGAACTACCTCCAGATCAGCTTCATCTGCCATGCAGCTGTGAAAACCTTTTTGGTTTCAATCTGGCCCCTGGATGAGACAGTTAGATGACCGGTTGTTTGATGTCTGCGAGGTAGGTTATCCTCTCAAAACCGAAGTAGAACCATTCTTTAGTGGAGAGTCCCCAGCTTCCCACTGTAGGCTTTGCAGGTGTCCATGCGCCACAGGATAGGAATCCGATTCAGCTAACTAGGCTGTACTACAATCTAGTACACCACTACACTACGCTTACTCAGTAAAGAAAGTAAATAGCCAGAAAGCCCTTGGCTGACGTCTTCTTTCTTCGAAGCCATCTCTCTCCAAGGACAGAGAGATCTCTGATGTTGCACGGTGCACGTGCCTCACGATGACGGTGTCTGCCAAGAGAGGAGGCGTCCTGCCATGCTGTGAGGATTCGAGGATCATTGTGAGCAAGTGAATTGGACATAATTGGACCAAATGTGTGGCATGCGAGGTAAGTGTTTTGTTGTTCAAAACTAACAAGCTGAACCGAGCTTCTCCCTGTGCATGTTTGGAAGAAAGGGCAGGGGGCTGAGTCGTTGTATTCTCAGGTGTCCATTCTTTACCTCAACATACCACCATTTCATTGGGTTTTGCATTGCTTAACTGCTTCTACCTATGCCACCCATGACCATGTTTCTGTGTACAGTGGTTCATTTTAGATGGCACATGGCACCCAAAGATGTCGTAGACATATGGTGCTCCCTCGGTTTACCACTGAACTTGAGGGCCCAAACGCACGTGCCATTGCTCACCTGTGATGACCCACCGGTGAATCCTACCAGCTACCCAGGTGGAAGTCACCACTGAGGTGCCCCACCCCTTGCCGCCCTTCTCCAGGACTTGCCACGCCAGGCCGCTCGAGCTCCTAGCCGCCAGACGGAAGCGGCCAGACGGAAGCGGAGACCCAGCGTCTGTCCCTGGAAAGGCCGAGGACCTTCCGACCGACGGTTTTTGGACACCTCTTATCAACCTCTAGTCGAACTCTAAGAGGTTCATTACAAACACCTCTTGGAAGGTCTGGTTTTCTCGTTCTTGATTCCCAAACGGTCCACATCTTCTAGGACCACGGACTTTGGGTGGTGATTGGAAGGAACGTACATCGTCAGGGGTGACTGTAAACCACAAAGAATTATAGTCATAGTATATTGTATTATACTATAAACCCAATCTTGGGTAGCTCAGGCGATTCTACGGTATCTTTTTAGATATACGATGTTTTAAACAGGTGAAACAGGTATTTTAGACTACCTCCCGGCCAGGTTTTTGCCAGGTTTTGGCCAGCGGCCAGACCCTTGAAACATCACGGAATGAACAAAAACGTGGTGGATGGGCCGTCGGACGCTTGGGCCGTGTGGCGTGGAACTGAGCCCAGGCTCGGCCAAAGCACCACATCTCCATATCTCCCCACTCAAAAAGCACCTCAAACACCCCAAAACCTTCAACCTGCACCTCAGGTTCTACCTCTCCAGTCTCTCCAGTTCTTCTGCACCGTTCAGTGCACGGGGGCACTCACCCGTGCACCCGTGCACTCACACCACTCTCCTTTCGCAGAGCACCGGCGCAGTCAGGTCGTCCGGTGCGTCGTAGCGGCTCTTGGGAGCACCCTCTCCACCTCTCCGTCGACGAGAACCGGTCGCGAAGTCCGGTCGTCCGGTCGGTCCGAACTCAGTCGGAGTGCCCAGCCGTCGGAGCGCGGAGGGCGGCGGCGCGGGAAGGGCGGGCAGCTCTGCCTTTTCGAGGGAAGACGAGGTCGACTTACGAGACGAGTTCCCCAGGTGGTGAACCACCAGTTCTCCACGGCACCAGGACGTGGGGAACCACCACCAGATCGACGGATTGCCAGCTTGGTGAAGCGTCCCATTCGGAGAAGCTGGGTAGGACGGTGATGGGGTGAATCCCATCAAGTTGTATCAGTTGGACATAGTACTTGGAACGTGTTGAAACCACCAACCAGACTTAAACGAAGGATCCAGCTTCTTCAGTTCGTGACCTCTTTGGAGTACCTGAGTGACCATTTTCAGGCCCAAGTGACCTCAAACGGTGATCTCAAAGGGTCACTTTGAAGAATCAGGATAGGCAACACGCAGCGCGAGTTGTCGCAGTTACCAGGTTCCACACACCCATCAGCAGGGGGGAGCCTGTTGTCCTTCACAAGGTCCAGGGTTTGGGGTAGCATATTGTCTTAATCTTTGCACCCCAAAACAGGCCCAGAACCCAGAACGAGGTGGGATTTTAGGGGGACAATGTGACAAGACAAGCTTTGATTCATGTGGTATTTATGAGACGTACAGGGTGCAATCCACAACATACCACAACCACATGAGCATGGGTCAAGAAACATCCGCCGATGTGACATTCTCTGTGCCAAAACGCTTGGAAAAGAGCTGTGTGCCCTCAGCCAAATGTGAATTACTGTGGTTTCAGAATAGGGATGTCGCAGTAATTACTGCGCAAATACCCAAGGATGTCTTTGATCTTGGGGCCCATGTCCTTGCCACACCGAACGTTGGGGGGCTCATGTCCTTGCACCACCTCTGAAAACCACTGAACCTCTGAAAGGAGGACGTTGAGACGGACGTCACGTCGCGCAGGACTTGAGACTGCTCGGTCACGTCGCGCGGCTCCATGCGCTTCCCACCGGCCCATGCGTCACATCGACCCGGAAGAATCGGGATCGGCCGAGTGCCATGAGCTGATCCGAAGGAGTGGTGTTGAGCTGATCCGGTTGCTTCCCTGTTTGTGGGGCAGAATCCCTCCCACTGTTTGTGGGGGTTTGTGGGTGTTTTGGGGGGTGGGACGGCAGGAATCAGGACATTTGAGGGGGGGCCCACCCATGTGTGACCCATTTCTTCCAATTCAAACACGTGCGCCGGACTCGGCGAAGCATTGGGGGCAGTCCCGGAACGAAAACAGCACCAGACGTAGCTTGAGTTGGACACAAGCTCTCTCGGCTCTCTCCATGAAAAGCTGGGGACAAATGCATTCTTCAGCACCACTGATGTGGACCCATGGTAGATAGAAAGGTCAAAGTCCCGTTCAACATTGTATTGGAACCGGTTGTTTTTATCTCTTTGGGGGACCCCGTTGTTGCAGCAGCGCGGAACCCGTTCCGTTCTGCGTTCGATCGGACACAAAAGGACCAAGACTAAGAGTAACGCACATCTCACCATGGAGACAGAGGTCGAAACATGAATAAAACCCGGGAAGATTATATGAAGCTGATGGCATGGACCAGACTGGAAGACGATTTTCCGAATACCATGCCAACGCGACGTGGTTTTTCAGGTTCCATGCGAATTGTCCAGGGTGTAAAACCCAACCATTGGGTCATTGGGCTTGAATACTGTAAAGACATACAAAACCTCAAGAGTCTACCGCGGGTGACATCATTTCTCTTTCGAGTCGACCGGTTGTGAAACGAATGGGCTTCTCCTCGGCTCATGCGTTCGTCTCATCAAATGCGTTTCTTCTTTCACACGGCTCCGCTATGCTCCGCTGAGCCAGCTCCCAGCTCCCATCCCCGCTCCTCCCACCTTCAGCCCGGCGGAGCAGCCGAGGTTCCTGAAGTCCGTCCAGTGTCCCGTGTGGAAGTGGAAGGAACTTCGAACAGCGTCGACGCGGAACTCCGGACCGGGTAACATCTCGCCACTTGCATGATTGGATAGAGAAACCCATGGTAGACCTACCAATGCCCCCGTCATGCTACTGGGCATCAACCCCCTAGAAAAACAGCGAGTCTCCCCCCTCTTTTGGTGCAATGGCTTGGTTGGACGCTTTTGAACACCACATCATGCCTGGAGGCTTCTCCCAAGAATCTACAGTTCTTCAGTGGCATGACGACCGACCCGGGGGGGGTGAGGCTTCGTTCGCTCCAGGTCCAAGCGTATAGCACCAAAGTTCACCTAAGGGGACTGGGATCAAGCCCTGCCACGGCTTGGGGGTTGGTCGTTTGAGACAAATGCAAGTGGAACCTACGGTAAGCATCTTCCAAACAGATCCACAGTGGCTAAGGACTGCACGGTCGACTTGACAACATATCGCAGAACTTCGAACCTGCGCAGGTAGTCCCAGCTGGCTTAAAGAACGATATGATCTGCAGCAATCAAGGCAGTCGCCCACTCTGCGCCTGCTGCATAGCCTCGAGCAACCGCTCCACTTCCAAATGAAAACGTTTTGCTGCACGATGCATAGGTAGGTGGTCGGTGTCTGCACCTCTATTGGGATCCAGTGGTTTCTGAAGCAATTGTGTAACTTCAGCAACTCGATCACATGCCGCCAGGAGTAGAGCCTCCCAATAGGTCCAGGCGCACAGAAGTCCAGGATTACCAACTCCACACAACTGGTAGTTATTCGTCTGACCGGCATATCATCTTGAAGCCAAGACCCATGTCACTCAAGAACGAACCTTTGTCGAAGTGTCCAGAGTGTCCAATGTCCAACCCGCTGCACTGTTCGCTTCTTCAGATCCCGGACACAGACGACGTCCGGTGGACTCGCTCTCCATGCAGCCGCTGGGTGAGAGTGGGAACCGCCTTCCTTCCCGCAAAGCGCGCGGCTGGAACTTGAAAAAAACGCCGGTGGATCGATCCTTCGAACTGCATCGAACTGCATCGTCTTAGTCACGTCGTCGTCGTCTTACATCTCCGATGCGAGTCTTCGAGTCTTCTGACAACGCAGGTTGTCAGCGGAAAAGAAAAGGGCATTGTCTGTTCATCTCATCATCTACACTCTGATCTTCACACATCACATGGAAGTGGAAGGCATAGTCCCTTGGAAGATAGTCCCCTTCCTTTACAAACAGGGGATTTTCCACTTCCATGTTAGTGACAGAGTGCAATCTCAGAAGATTCCCACATCGATGGATCCAAGGCAGCACGGCACGGCAGCACAGGCACCGGTGTCGACGTCGTGTCTTCTGAAACAGATTTGAGGCTAGTCTTCTTCAGGGCTCCATTTGGGGACCCAATCGCCGAGGGCTCCAGGGGTTCCAAAGTCTCTTCTTAGCGTCGAAGGCTCCTCAGAGGATCTGATCTTAGGCTTTTGACTTCCCAATGGATCCTCGGAATCCGATTCACCGGGTCCTCGCACCGGGTCCATGCACCACCTGGGTCCTCGCGCTCGCGATGCTCGCGGCACTGGTGCCTTGCGGGACGACGGACTCGGGCCGCGGGTCCTCGCGAGTCGAGTTGACCGAGTGATTTTGGGATTTGGCGATGAAGCTTCTTGGACCTGTGCGCGAATGGAATGGATTCGACAGAGTGATTGGGGATTGGGCGAGTGATGGAGAAGTCGTTCTCGTATTTCTTCTCTCTCTCTCTCTCTCTCTCCAGTGTATAACTTTCATATAGGAGGACACTCCGAATAAAAGTCTGTGGACTCTCTATCTTTACTCAACTAAGGGGAAGTACCAGCGAAGACGAGCCTTCTGAACTTCTAAAGATACCTCTTTGAACGTTTGGCATGTGTAGGTTGGAGAGAAGATAGTTTCTTCTCTCAATTCATACTCAGCTATGGCAGCATGGCTACGAAAACCCACTAGAAAGCATCCTGCCGGGGGTTGCTTTGCCATGCTTTTTTCGTGTCGGCGAACACCGACGATGCGCAGGGCATGACTCACCTTTTCGCCTTCACCGGCGCAGGGCATCTAATTGGGTACCCCCCCGGAACCCCAAACAACTAGAAACAAATGGTTGTTCCAATATGGCAATTGAAATCCTTTACATAGGAAATGGTTGTTTGGGAAAACATCCATTTCTTTCTGGTTGTTTGGGGTTCCAGGCCCATCGCCTAGGAGCCCTCCCCTGGCACTTGAATCCCTCAAGTGCCCGTGGAAACGATGTTCTCGACTCGACTTGTTGGGGGGGCCGATATCGTGGACAGTTCTCCTCGGATCGACGTCTGATCAGACATGTGATCATAGACATCAGGCGAGGGACTCCGGTGTTGGACTCGGACTCCGGTTTAGAGACCTCTTCGGGTTCTCGGGTTCGTGAGAGACATCACTCTTCGAGAGAGATGGCACTCACAGGTGATTCAACTGAAGGTGTTACGTTCGTAGTAGGGCCAGGAGCGCACCCCGTTCGTACCGATGCCCTGGCCTGCTCCGAACTCGCGTCGCGTCCGATCGTTACGATCGTCGTATACGGCCAGATGTTGCTGCATTGGAACATTCCCTGGCCATGCTCTCCATCTGAAGGTCACCCTGCGACTTGTAAGTCTACAAAAGCCTCCATTTCAGAGAGCTGGCAGGGAAGGTGTTCGGCTTAAGGCCACTCTGAAGGTCCCCACCTTGGGCGTCGTAAAGCTCTGTGGCCAAAGCGCCTTGGGCAGTCGAACGGGTTGATGGGGGGGGGGGCCTCGTTTACCACCAAAAGCACCAAAAATAATGGCCAAGAAAGAACGGATCTAGCAGTTCCAAGAGGGTGCCCATCATCGGGGTTCGGAGACCGGTACGTGAACCGGTACGTGGTACGTGCCCCATCCTTGGGAGGCCGGCTCCGAAACGAGGAGATTCCCCCAAAAGAGGCGGTCCCAACAGCCGTTTCACGACCGCGCCGACGACCGTTTGGCGCGCGCCCTTGCTTTGACCCCCGCACGTTCCTCGATCCACGCACAAGATCCTGGCCACTTCCGGGTGAAACAGATATGCATCAAACACACTGCTCTTCTGGATGCTCCGCCGTCCAACTGGACAGGTCCAGTGGACAGCAGTAAAGGCTTTGTATTTCTAAGAGGCTTAGGCGGCAGATGACGCGGACTCGCAAGCGAAATGCCTTCACCGCGACACAACATGGCCGGCCCTCAGCAGCATGGAGACGCTGTGTGACCGGAGGCAGGTGCTAGAGATGTGGGTGTGTATTTCTTCAATAGGGAGACTGCCGAGTGTTTTTGCTGGGTAGACTGGTCACCCTCATCGAACTTAGGGGGGGTCGTTGCCACACCTGGGAGGTGTTCCTATTTACTCGTATAGTGTGGCCAGGAGCCCCGAACGTAGCGTCCGATCGCTCCTAGTAGTAAGGCCAGGAGCCCCTAGTAGCTTCTTGTTACTAGTAGTATGGCTGGGAGCCCCTAGTAGCTTCTTGTTAATCTATGTTAATCTATATAATGATGATAATATCGTCCATGTTTTGGTTCCAGAGATGTTGGATCGTTTCGTTGAGTTCTTGTCCACTGAAAGCTCATCCAGGGTCAATCGTGAAATGTTCTTTCCGTGGGCCCTGCTCTGCAACCATTCATCGGCGTCACCGACTCTACAACTTACACTCCTTGAAAGAAAAATGATTAAGTGGATGGCATGGCCCCTCTTGGATGACCATGTTCCGAATACCAAACAGGTGGTTTTCCAATTCCATGACGATTTCAAGGAGTGTGTACATCGGTACGAGGAAACCATCCACCCCAGATCCAAGCCTGCGTTGCCCAGAGCCACCAAGCTGGGCCCAGAAATGTACTTAACAGTCGATGCTTCAGAATGTGGCACCTCCCTTGACAACCTGTCTCGAGCCCGGTGAAGGCCGCCCTTTCCTATGGCTAGAACGGTCAGCCCCTCTGGTTTCAGTCTGAAACATAGTGTGAACCACGGCCAAGAACGCAATCGAAGAAATGTCAAACAAAACACTGTTGTTTCAACCCAACTGGCCCAGAAACGTTCAGTCGCTTCCGTCACCAGCACCAGGACTTCGTCCCCACCATCCCCCAGCCCAGCCAGCCCAGCCACCGTCACCAGCCAGCGGGGACAGTCCCGTCGTTGGGATAGGGTTCGGAGCCTCCAGTTTCAGCCAGTGGCACTCGGAGCCAGCACCGGACGGGGGTGCCGAGTGCAAAGAGTCATCCATCATGTGAATGAAGTGCTACCAGCAGTTCTAGAGTTGGGGTGCCGGAGGAGAGATGGAGTGCTGGAGGTGGGGTGACTGGGGCGTCACATCCACTCACTGGCTGGGTCTACATACGTCTTAGAGGCCCACAGACTCGGTCTTAGAGTCTTAGTTGCCTGACTTTCGGAACCTCCGTGGCCTCAAAACCTGGACGTCCATGGAGGGATGGATGGCCGAGGACAACCAGAAACTCCAGCCAACCTCTTGGAACCTCTTGGAACCACAATTCCTACCAGAAGCGATGGCCTCCTGTTGAACAGGAGGATCGACTTTGAAGCACCATCCACTGAAGCCTGTTGAACAGATTTGAAACCAAATCCTCAAAACCATGTCCAAAAGAATATACTGGGAACATCGTGACGCCTGGGAGCGAAACTGGACCTGAAAAACTGGACCTGAGGCCGGGAGGACACTGGGGAGGCTTCTCGACAGCCTCCCCAGTGTCCTCCCGGTTTCGGCCGACACCGGGTGTTTCACCACCCGGTGGGGATGTCCACCACAAGTGCTGATGAAAGATTGAAGAGAAAGAGAGAACACTGACATGGCAACGTGTTTTTCACAGTGCAAAAGGGCAAAAATCTGATGGCATGTCTTGCTTTCTCTAGATCTTTCTCACTTCTGGAATCCTCCAGCACAAACGGCCACAGAACTCTTTCGTCTTCCACATGGTCCGGAACCAAATCATTGAAATGAAAAACCCATACAAGTTGAACCACAACAAATGCTTACGGCCACCAGACCCTCCAGGAGCAGGCGTCTAAAGAACATGAAACGGCCACACCGTACCTCGCGTGGTCCCTGGGTCCCGGAACCGAGGAGTCTAAGCAGCGGACGGAAGTTTTGCTGCTCGGCCATCTTGCCGTAGCCGCCGTCGAAACCTGTCCGTAGTCTTGCAGCCGTTGCGGAGCGGTGCGGCGGTGGAGTCAAGCTGAGCGAAGCTGAGTCCGAAGCGAAGAACAACTGCGGCTTCGTGGGAAGTACGTGTCGCCTGAATTTTGGCTGAAAGGTTGGGGTGAAAGAAAAAAACACATGGTACCTGGATTGAGCAAGGATCTTTCTTCTCATGAGAAACAAATGACTCGACTACGGAGTCACCAGGCCGGCCGCCCATCTGCGGAGATGGGGCAGAAGACTGATTGGTCGAAACGAAGTGGACTGCCGAGAGAATCCCTTTTCAGAATCCGGAGAAACGAGCCGCCCCCATTGGATCTGGAATGTCCGTTTCGGGTCAGCAAGAAAAGTGAACATCGACTTGGCGTGAATTTCCCCCAAGTGACGCCCCTTCGACCGCCCCGCCCGGGTGTCACGCCCGTCCACGCCTTCGGCTCCGCCGAATTGGGCGCCGCCCCAGTCGCCCTTGCCGCCCTTGCCGCCGGAGTTGGCACCGCTGACCTGAAGGGCCATCGGGTTTCGTGGCGGGTCAAGGCGGTGGACGAGGAGCGTCCTGGCTGGTCGGAGGTGGTGGTTTTTGGAAGTGGGGGGGCGGAGGGGGTCACGGATGGCCGGCGGAGGGGTCAGGCAAATGGAAAGAAAGCTCCGTATTGGGGATCCGTTTGTCTTTGCCTGTACCCAGGGGTGAAGAGGATGAAGACGGAACTTGTGCTCATCCCTCTTGCTTCAGTGGCTCAAGATTCTCGAGGTGAAATCAGAAGCGGAGTCGTTCAGCCATGGCCATGACTTCATTGGATGAAGTTTCACATCAGGCCATCTCTGCCACAGCTCAGATTCAGAGAGCCAGCCAGTGCTTAACTGCTTCCTATCCATGGATTGGTTCCCGGAATTGAGAAAGGAACGTTCACTTGATGGCACTTGATTGGCCTAGCCAGTTTGGGTGTCTTTTCGTGTGAGAAGATCGTCATATTCAGCGTTGGAGGACCGGACCATGTTCAAGCGGGATCGTCGTCCAACGGTGTTGGCCAACTCCCTGCGAAGCTCATGGACAAATCAAGCCACTCTAGCTTGCAATTCTGGTGGCTGGCGGTGTTTTCTATGTCCAGGCCGGAAACTGGAGCAGTACGATCAAAATATATCAAAATCCTCGGTGATGATCGGTGATGATACTGGGGTTCCAAAGCTGGGAAGAGTAGCTTGTTGTCTTTTCCTCGATTGCGAGACCTCCACCCTCGGCCGCCCTCTTACAACACGCGCATCCCAAGCTGGCACAGTTCGCCAGGGCACACTAGTGGCCTCAGCGAACGAAAAATGGCCGTGATGCTTGTGAACTAGTTGGGTGTTGTAACAGCTGTATTCCAATTCTTCAACTAGGAGGACCTGGAAATCGGGGGGTGTAGGATAGATTCCTCTGCCGCACCAAATCACCAACAAGCCACCACTTCAGCTGTGGTTTCTGGTTGAATACTGCCAAGAGTAACGGTAAGAGTGGCAGGAAGACATGTTGGGAAATATGGCATGCATCTGGAGCCTAAGTGACCCCTGTTTTGGAGGATCAACTGTCCAAAATATGGTCTTGTCCTATCAAAACCGAGGTCAGTCAGGCTCAGATGTACCCTGAACCCCCAGGCACAGAGCATGGACGCCTGAACATGTCCCAACTTGGATCCCCAAATCAGGAGGGCCCGGCCCCACAGAAACCCGGCCGCTGTGCGGCTCGGCATCGGCGCCTTCGGACGCGACTCGAACGGGGCTCAGAGCTAGTAAGGCCAGTTTCGCCCCGTTCGAGTCGCGTCCGAAGGCTCCTAGTGGTAAGAGGCCCATTTGAGGATTCCTAGAGGTACGAGTTCTTTTTTAAAGGCCGGGTCATCCCGACGAAGCCTGGCTTGGGGTTGTGAGAAACTACTCGGGGTGATGTTACACCAAAAGAAACATCTCAGGTCACCCATCTTCGGTCTCGGACTTTGAGGGGAAAGCGAAATATAGAAGTATCGTATCTCTCAAACGTGTGGACCTTGTGATGTGTCCTCGTTCAACGCACCCCATACACATCCAGACTTCCAGCTCGATCCAGCTCCCAATGTCCGACTCCAGTCGCCCTTAGGGGGGGGCCGTGGGCTTTCGTGTGTCAACCACTGACTGAGCTCACTTCGGCCGGATTCAAACCATGACCCCGGTGACCTTCTAGTCATTCTACTGACCTTTTCAATACCCCCAGGTCCATGCTGTTAGGCCACCCCTGTCATAGTTGGGTGTGTGTTTCAAAATACGTAGGACCTGTCAAGGGCCTGGAAGAACGGGAAATAGACCGGTCTACCCATTCGACCAGGGGATCGGAAGCTTCCTGCCCGAGGCGACACAACGAGCCGCTTCGGATCGGGAGCCGCTGGTTCATCCGCCGTCTCCAATCCCTACGATGAAGCCATCTGACGACGATGGCTTACTGCTTGGATGGTTGGCACTTCAAGAATGGGATCACCAGAACCGATTTGGGGCACATGTATGGGCTGCCATATTGCAACCTGTAACATACGAGTCGTTTGACCCGCGAAAACCATCAAAACTGGTAGCTGGTAGTCATGTGAGTTGCGAGGCTATTTCATCCCATGAGATTCTTTGCATTGATCCTTCTTGGTCCTGCCCGCACAGAACTGCAACTTTGAACATCTTATATACTAAGGTCCTGTCCTGTCCTTCCAATCATTCTATAGATTGACCCTGTCCCAGGCCACCGCGCGGTATATTTGTTCTTCTGGACATTCCACTGGGCCTTAATGGAGCACTGGGCCATTCTTGGCGTGGTCTTGGGAGGGTGCTCAAGGCGCTGAACCAACCAAGCCACAAAAAGGCTGCTAGGAACAAGAACGCGACGTTCGGGGCTCCTGGCCTTACTACTAGGAACAAGAACGCTACTACCAACCAAGCCAAAAGATCCCAGCCAAAAAACGCCTTTGAACCCAGCTCGTTGGGAGGGGGGAGCTTCTTGACACAGCCCGGTCGCGGAGGAAGGCGGACGGAGTCCCGTCGAGCAAAAAGAAAACGGGTGGTAGGTCCTAGTAGTTTCTTGCTTCATTTCGAAATGAAATTATAACTAAAATTTAGAGTGTTAATTCTAAATGGTTTCCTTCTTTATAGCTTCTTGTTACTAGTAGTAAGGCCAGGAAACCTGAACGTAGCGATGCCCTTGCTCCTAGTAGCTTCTTGGAAGGCGGACGGGTTGGATGGTTTGAATATCTGGTGGAGAGTCTTGTTTTGAACAAATTCAGGGAGATCAAAAGAAAAAAGGTGAACATGGCATGAAAATGGCATCCTTGGAAGCTCTTTGGTTTTGCATACTTGTCACTTGTCACTACAGATGTGTCACAAATGCAGGTCCGGATCCAACAAAGGCAAGGTCCGCAAATGGGTACCATCCGCGGTCCAGCATCTTCGTCCCACCAAAACCCCTGGGCTTTTCTGGTCCACAACCCCCGAATTCCCAACGCACGAATCGAGCCTTGTGTCTAGCTGTCTGCAGATATGGTGGAGACTCTTCCATTTCGAAATAAGTAGTGAGGACTGTCTCACGAAACGCATGGGATATGAATAGTGGAGACTCTCCGCTTGGGAAAAAGATCAGATCTTGAAACATCGAGTCACGTGCACCCGCTTCGTGCACCTCCCTTCTTCGGTCTCAGCAAGGACCCGAACTCGTGCTCGTGCTCCCCCCCCCCCCCCGCGCATGGATCAAGCTCCCTCCCCGGTCCCGTGGGGTCTCCGGGCTGTGTAGGTGACTGCGGAACCCTGCATCAAGGTCTGTCCATCCGTGAGCGCCGTCCTGCAGGGTGCGTCGGGGGCGGTCCGGGGTCTACCTCATCCACCCGTGGGTAGCTAGACGCCTCATCCGTCTGCTATCCACCTCAGGGGCGGTCCGTCTGCACCGTCGGACGACGTAGAAAGGGAGTGGTCTCTTTTTCGTTTCGCGCGAGAGGTTCCCCAGAGGCGTTGAGCATCCATGTCGACGGGGAGTGGTTTTCCGACTCCAAATTGGCTGCCCAAGGCTGAAAAGTGAATACAACAAAAATACCACCAAGTGGGCGACCAAGCAGCTGCCCAACACATACGGCATCTCCCTGCCCAAATCTTCTCACACGAAAAACACACACCAAGGTTCAGTATGGCCTCTCCTCAGTTCACCTCTCCCGCCTTCCCTCCGCGCAGAGCGCTTGTCCATCCCGAGTCGCAACGGACGGAGACCGGGGAACGGACGGTCTCTCCGTGCGTGGGTCGTCCTGTGGACGTAGCAGTCATCACCTCCCCCATCCGGGGTGAGGAAGCCGAAGCCCTTCTCTTCAAACCAGACCTGCCAGGGCAGCATAGCATATGGATGCATATGGAGGAGAGGAGCAGGTGGGTGTAACGTTGCTTGGGTGACTGGCCGTCAACACCGGTCCAGCAGGTTGATGGGGGTCAAAACCGGTCCTCACTGTCCTCACCATCTCACAGAATCCGTTGACAATGGCCTCTGGAAAGACATGGAAAGACCATTCTCCTCCACAAGAAGGAGGTGGTCCACTTCCATGATACGTTGCAGGAAAAGTGACCCGAGCTGGTTCACTGAAAAGAAGGTGATCCTCGGCGTCCTCCCCATGTCCACTCGTGTACCCCCCGTACTTCCTGGCTTTTAAGCCGTCCAAAGATCTGGCGCGCCGAACACCGGAGTCACCATCCCAACGCAGAAAAGGTCCCGGAATCCATGCCGTGACCCAGCCCGGTCCTCGTGGTTGGTTGGATGGGGAGAAACATGAGAGGCATGACAATCGTGTAGACCAAGTTCCATCCATTGCACGTTCAAAAGCTTCCATCCTTCTGTGGCGAGAGCTGTCTCCAGATCCCACAAGCTCCACCCTTCAAAACGAAGGCTCCTCCTCTCCTCCAGTGCACCTGGTTTTTTCTCCTCGGTCCCTACCCTCGACCCTTCCTTCACCCGATTCCGTTGATCAAACCCGAGGGTCCTCAGAAGGAGCCAAACACTTAGATAGACCAGGTAAGTCAGGTCAACCGGGTCCTAAACTTCCGGTCACTCCGTAATTTCGCTGGCACTCCGCACCGGAGTGGCGTTCCGGACCAGTTCACCCCCTCCTCACCTTCACAGTGCCATTTTGTTGCACCGGTGGCCCAGCAAGACCTGGCGTGGATGGCATGGGGCTCAGGGCCGGACTCAGGGTGGAACTGGTCGTCACCGTGATCTTCACCCAGGTGGAACTGGTCGTTGTCCGATGTTCGGCCGTCTCTGGCGAACGATGCAAGCAGCGAAGGGAGGCAAAACCAGAACGTGTTGGGTTGGAGGATCTCATGAGCTTCGACGGTCCCACCACCGTCGGATGATTCGGTTGAACGGACGAGAGACCAAACCTGACCGGTGGGGTCTATCCTCTTCGATGGAAATCGAAGAGAATGGTTATCTGTGTGTGTGTAGCTTCGATCATGTTCAAGTGTGTTCCTTCTCCCTCTCTCTCTCTCTCTATTTGCTCTGTTGAACAAACTTTACTTGTTTTGTCCCGGCAAAGACGCCCGGGAACTGGAAAATCGGAGAAAACCCCTTTGGTTGCGGGGCCCACCAATAAAATACAAAACCCCATATGGGAAAGGACATTCTCTGCGAATTCGGGGTAGACTATGGTTGACTTCACCAGCAGTGTTCTGAAGTTTGAAGCATCTTCTTCACTACATGTGGCGACCATTGGACGAGGCAACCAATGGAATCGACAAACAAGACCAATGATGAGGATCCAGGTGAACTGCAATGGTGAAGGGATGGTTCTTTACTAGGAAAGTACGAGACATGTTCACGTCATCGCAGTGGAACGTTCCTGATTTTGTGACAATGCTTTTGTTCCTCAATCACTTTGTTCTTCAACAGGATGAAATCGGTCTTCAACAACACCATCCCCCCCGAACGATTACGAAAACAATCCCCCCAGGGTCTGAAAAGGGTGGCACACTTGCGAACGAAGGGCCTCCCTGAGTTGGTATTTTAATAGGGAGAACTACCCATGCCCCAACCTATGGCTTGTTTCATAGTTGACCATAGCAACAGGATGTTCGAAGTTTTCCAAACTGTCGGTTGTTGCCTGTGCCTTCTCGGTTGGTTAGTTGCAGTGGTGGTGTTCTGTGGTGTTTGTATGACTTGTTCGAGAAACGTGTTGCTTTTCGAATCCATGTCCCTCTCCCAGGGGGTCGTCTCCTGGGAGATCTCCCTATGCCCTATGCCCAAACGCACCTCCCTGTCTTTGTTCAGATCGTGCGTTGGGGTGCCATGTCGACAAGTCATCCCCGGGCGGTTGGCATTTCAACTGGAGCTTCTTCCGGGCTGGAAGGTTGTCAAGAAACCAGCTGAGGGTCACTGACCTAGGGATTTGGTGCCAGTTCGGCTTCCCAAACAGGCATCCAAAACAGGGTCGTTTTAAGATTTGTAAGACCCAACCAGGGGCCCCCCGACTTCCTCCAGTGAGCACCCAATTTCATGGAACGGTGCTGGTGCTTTTTTCGGCCTCCCAACTAGCTTCTTGTTACGTTCGTAGCGATGGCCTCCAACCACCAACCTGACCTGGCCTCCACCGTGCGTCGCATCCTTGCTAGAAACTGAAAAAACGTGTATTCCAGGGCCCCCCAAACCAGGGGTGTCCAATCATACGTAGCTCCTTAGAGGTTCATGGGTGTCTATTGACCACCCAAACCGGGTGCCCGGCGCTTAAAGGACCCGTCTCGGCACCGTGCTCCGGGCCTCCTTGGCCGCCTCCAGACATACCCTGCCAGCTGTCCAGTGTCGAGGTGAAGTGACGCAGAACTCATAAGTGTTTTCCCCGGAAAGGACCACAAACAACTCCACCCGACACTCGGATGACCCGAGTGTAGTAGATCAGCTTCGTGGTGTTCTTTTGAGTCATTAAACACACTGATGGTGCTGGCTTCTGGAGAGCTTTGATGCAGTGTCTTTGGCATGTCGTTGCATGCGAAACCAGGGCGATAGTAGTTATGAGTACGTGATGTTACATGCAAAACCAGGGTGTTGGGGTGTTTTTTCCAATTGGTTGGGCTTCAAAAGGGGAACTACGTGTGTCCGACTGACCACCGAAACGCGCTGGACTGGGGTTCACTGGCGCAGACTGCAGGCGACGAGATCCATTGAACACAGGTTCTGGCGGGACGTTCTTTTGCATGTAATGTAGACTCATTTTGATGAATAGAGCACCCAAATTGAAATGCAAAATCCTCTTTTTCATATGAAGAATTTATTAATCAAGAGTCTGTCTTTTCTTCTTCGACTTTCGAGCGGACCGATCACTTAAGCGCACCTCAATTAAAGAGTCTACCTCAAGGAGTCACAACGGGGTGGTGTTTGGTCCCTAAGTGAGTGGATAATGGGCACCCCTAACCTCCATTAAGCACCCCTTTGTGACTCCTGGCATGTGTTCTTTTCCTCCCACAAAAGTCGGAGAAGTCGAGTCGAGTCGGAGAAGTCAGCACAGCGGTTCATCACCGCCTCCGGTCACGAACCGCCTAACGAACCCGTTGGTTCATTCCAAGAGAGGTATCCGACGTGACCTGAAAAAGGACCAGTAACCTAAGGTACCCTGCTGGGATAGTCGAACTAACTGGGGTTCTGACCCACCTCTGTTGCTGGTGTCCTTCCCGAAACCGCCCTCGCGCGCCCTTGCGGGCACCTTGTCGCCTTTGCCGAAGCCCTCAACGGATGGATGGATGGAGAGGACGAAGAAAGACTGGTGACCGATGATGGAGTCTACTCAGCTACTCATCTCCCGACTCAGCTACTGGGCGGTCCCCCGACGAATCCGGAATCGACTCGGCGAGTCGAGTGCGCCGAAGGTGCGCCGATTAGGTGCTTTGTGCCAGAAAAACCCTGGAGGCCAACCCTGGCTTCTTTGCTTCAACGGTCAGTCCAAAGGAGTTCGCATTCCCTTAGTGCCAGGAGTGGCACGACCCGAGTTTGACACTCCAAAACCCTGAAGAAGGCTTAGTGGGAGGTGGGAGCATCGATGTTTAAGCACAGACCAAAAAAAGAACTTGGCATTCTGATCTTGAGTTGAAGTTGGGGAGGTTGAAGTCTAGTCTATTTGTACCCTGTTCTGGTTCCGATCCTGCAGCAATGGCCGGTTGCCCTTGATAGATGCATCAAACCGGAGACCCGGGAAGCCAAAAAAGACTTGACGACGCACCACAGCAGGGTGCGCTCTCGAAGTTTCGTCGGACCTTCACCTTACGTCCAACATCATGGAGGTGAAAGTCGTTCAAGCTAAAGTGTCATCCGATGTGAGACTTGAAGGCCCAATCAATGACCGTGGTCTTCAGCACCTGAAACACCAGCCCGGTGGTTTTTGGACACCTCGACTCACCTCTTTACGAGGCTTAACCTATAGACACCTCGACTGGTGTCGGTCCTGGTATGGCGATTGAAGACCGTTCATCCTCTCATCAGCCTCATCAGCAGAAAGAAGACGCCACCAGCCCTCCCTGCGGTGCCTTCCCTCCCTGCGGCGTGGCTCCCGTCACTCTGGAGGCTTGGCTCTTGCCTGTCGAAACTTGCCACCAAAGAAATAACATGTTTGCATGTTCCTGGTGCTTTGGGCTGTTCTTTTCACCTTTTCGTAAGGTGTTTAGGTGTTTTTCTTTGGTGTTGGGGGCGTCTAACACACTTTCTAACAGGAAATGGAATTGCACTTCAGTCTTTATATGTCTCGATAGTTGGGGTTCAGAAACAAAAAAATATGTGTACAAAGGCCTCAATTCTTCAGACCAGCCAATGGGTTTTGCTGCCCCGCTGGGTTCCCACCATGGGCTCCTGCCACCCTTTTGGCTCCTTCGTTTTGGGTTCCCACCCAACCTGAACGCGCAGACCAAGGAAGACCAACAAAGGAGACTAGCACCAAAGGTTTCTCGGGGCTAAGGTCCGCCGGGTGTCATGGTTGAAGTAACCTGATCGTGGTATACGGCCAGTTTCCCAACAAAGACAAACAGAACCAAACATCCTACCGAGTAGACCGACCACGACGGTCAGACCGTCTGCCGGGTCTGCGCGACCACAATCGTCTGCTTTTTCTCGGAAGAAAGAAGGACATGGGTTTGTCTTGAAAGGAACTGGGAAACAATGTCCTTCAGAGAAACATCTGGGAAGAGGAGTCTTGCGAGTTGCCTTGAGTGTCTTACAGGATGTTCAGTGTCTTGAGGAGTCTTTTTGCAATGAAACATCTGGGAATGGGACAGCAACTGAAAACCGTTTTTAGCAGACCTGGGGTCTGATAGAGCACTTGTGAGTGGAACAAACAAAAGTGTGTTTAGAAGGTTACACGTCCTTTTAGACAAACCCCCATCCAAACATTCTGAGATCTTGTGACAATCTTGGCAAGTCTTGAAACGCGTCTGAGGAAAATTGATTTCACAGAGTAAAACTAAACCAAGAAAAACATGGTTTAAATTCTTATGATGAACTCTCGATGCTGGAGCCGAAAGCAGGTAATCCTTGCGGTCCGTCCAATCCAGTATGTTAGGATCCGAAATGATATAATCTGACTTGAGGAAAACCCTGTCACACTGATGAAGGGGGCCAACACCTGGCATGCACCCTTTTTCATTCTTACTGATGGTGCCCCATGTCTGTCTTCCTTCATCGTCTCAAACCATCTGAAAGGAAAGCGCACCTTTCTGGGCGTTCCAAGTGACTTCGAACTGGACCTGAGCGATGAAAAACGTCCCTTTTGCCGCTTGGAGCCGAATGAGATGGGAATGTCCACTTTGGGGGACTGCAAAAACACGTTCTTCCACAGAATCATAGATTCCAGGAGGTTGGTTCTTATGGCCTGAAGATGTGTGCAGCTTCAATATGGCGACTTCCGATAGAGATCCCAGTGCGCAATCTATGCCGACGGTCCATATTTGTAATTCTCCAAAATATGCATAGGCATGTCATGTGATCCAGAGCAATTCAGCTTGCCTAAGCTGCTGATGACTAGAAATCAATGCCCACTTCCCCAAGGTCTTCCGCGAGAGGCGCCTTGCAACAAATGACCTCCGGAGTGGTCGCAGAGGTTGATCTCCCCCACTTAGAACACCCAAAGACTCCGTATACAGGATTTCCTTTGACTGGACCTGGTCATGGTCTGAGTCATACATGGTCATACAAAAGACACCTTTGCTCACCGAAGTAGCAACCGGAACCAGCGAAGAAGTGCTTCGACGATCTGTACATTGCTTCGACCGACTCGTCCCGTGACCGGTGACTCGTCCATCCCCCGAGCGTCGTCTCTGTGAACCACCCGACGACTTCGGACGGGTTGGGACCGGACAGCGGCCACAGCGATCGTTTTTGCCGATGGATTGCGGGGTTGGGGGTTTTATGGGGTTTTGGGGGATCTGCGAAACATGCAAAACGAGAAGATGCAAAGATCTGAGAACTGGTCTGTGCCGTGACCTGAGTCGTTGGCAAGATTGCACCAAAGGCCCACCAAAGATGATCAGACCCTCGAAAAAACCCTCGAAAGAGCCTGTTTTTGGTCGGGGCTTGGGCTGGAATCCATCCACAACCCGACACGGGCACTCCGTTCCACCTCCGTTCCGTCCAAAACGGACGGTTTCAGAGGTGAGAAAGGGGGGCTTGGGCCCCTCTTCGAGGTTAGACCTCCGACCGGTTTGGGTTCCATACCAACCACTGCCATCTACTCTCCATCCACTGCCATCTATCCCAAGGCGCCGGATTGCCCTGGACCAGCATGCCACCATCCGACAGCGAACTCCGATGCACGAAGATGTCGTCGCCCCCGGCGTCCCTCAGTCGTCTTCGACTACGCTGCGACCAACAAACAGACAAACAAGCAAACGAGTTCCAAACACCAGGAGAATACTCCCATTGGCCCGGCTTGCTTTCGAACACTTCTGGGCTGAGGTTCAATCTGAGGTTCAAAAGCCCCATGGTTGCGGCAAGCTTCCCAGCATGGGCCGAACGGAAAACCCAAAAGAGAAATGGAACACCTGCTCTGGCATACTCTGACCATCCAACGAATCCTTGTAGAAAACCTTATGTTTCCTCTTCTCCTTCTTCTTCTTCTTCTTCTCCTTCTTCTTCTTCTTTCTCCTTCAGGCGCTTTCGTGGTCTTGAAGCTCCCCCCTCTTATTGAGCCCTTCGGAAAGAAATAATCTATGCCACCATAGACCCCAAACAGTTTCCGCATTACTTTTGGGTATCAACTTCTTGAATTCCAATGTTGGTGGTAACGTCTGCATTTGTTCGTGTGGCCTTCCAGCTGTGTGGGAACGGCAAACAACAGTTTCCTGATTCCCAGGTCACATGTGCAAACACGAAGGCATCCATGTCATGAGAACATCCGAGGATGATATCAAATTTGAAACGCTGTATGACTGTTGCATTCATAGTCACACGAACACATACCCGGACAAGGCCTGGATAAAGCCCTCAAGGCAGAGAAGAAAGACCCATGGCAACCGGCAGACAGGGCAGCAAGGCACAAGGCGGCGTGGCTGCGGCCAAGCAGACCCGGACAAAGCCTGCAAAGGACAACACAGGGCCAGCAGCGCAGCAGACAAGGCTTGGACAAGCTCTGGACAGGGTGGAAAAGAAAGCCCACGGCATGACCCAGCTGGACGCACAGATCCCGGACAAGGCCTGGACAAACCGGGGCAAACGCTCAGAAGGCAGAGAATTTGCCCGGAGGACATGAGGAGGACATAGCGCTCGCGAGCGCAGCCAGAGGACAGTAGGAGGACACCTGGGGGCCAACACCCGAGCACAAGGTTCAGGCGCGGCGCCATTTGACTGTGGCCAGTGTCTTGTTTCCTAAGAGAGAACCCCAACATATCCCAACTGTTTGGGAAACGCAAAAAAAGAACAGCACCGGTGCACCCTCTGTCAATCTCTCGAAACACCAAGTGGCGGGATGATGAAGCCGAATCCCTTCTCATCGTTCCAGGACTTGACGACGCCGGTCTGCATGTTGCCATTCATGCCTCAGGGCGAACGACTCCTCCGTCGTCTCCGACCCGCAAAACGAGACCCGGTCCACGGTTCGTGCGAGGGTCACCAGAGGGTCAAGACTCGACTTGACTCGACTTGACTCGATTTGACTCGACGACTGAGGTCACTTTGACCAGTCTGCGAGAGCCGCCAAGATCCGATTCCAGATCCACACAATGGGAAGCGAAGGGGGATGGGTATGAGCCTCGATTGGTTGGCTCCAAACCCGACCCCGTCGATTTTGGAGAAGCCCCAAGAGGTGGGGTGTCGGTCACCTGGCAGTTCTACCAGCCAGGAAGGAGAGGGAGGAAGGAACGCGACAAAGAATGGGATAACCAGGTGTTCCAACATGTTCCAACTACTCCTGGGCTTCTGGCAGAGCCTTTTGGGAGGATCCAAAAAGGGTCTACTGATCCCTGAAGACTGATCTATTGAGGGCCTCTGATCCGCTGCAAACAGAGAGAGAGAGAGAGAGCAAGAGCACTTGGGACCTGGAACAACAGCAGAAACAGCCATGACTGCACTTTCAGAGGCTGCTAATGTTGCCCCAGCACCCACGCTGATCAAGAGCAGTGTTTATTCCTCCAATCCAAGTGGCCCATGCCACCCATCTGGCCTCCCATGCCACCCATTCCTCCCATGCCACCCATTTGGCCACCCATACCACCCATCTGGCCTCCCATGCCACCCATCTGGCCTCCCATGCCACCCATTTGGCCCATGCCTCCCATTTGGCCACCCATGCCACCCATTTGGCCTCCCATCTGGCCCATTCCATCCATGCCACCCATTTGGCCACCCATGCCCATTTGTCCACCCATCTGTCCCATGCTATCCATCCCACCCATGCCACCCATTTGGCCACCCATCTGGCCTCCCATCTGGCCACCCATACCTCCCATCTGGCCTCCCATGCCACCCATCTGGCCGCCCATGCCCCCCATCTGGCCGCCCATGCCTCCCATTTGGCCACCCATCTGTTGACCCATCTGTTGGCCCATACCCATCTGGCCCATTTGCTGTTGACCTGCAGCGACCAGCCCAATATCGCGCGCGCGACAGTCGAATAGAATCAAACCAGGTCTGCTGCAAAGGTTTTGGAGCGTTCAAGCTGTAGACTCTTTCTTCTAAGGTCAACCCGCCAAAATGAAGAGGTTTTATCATCCAAATTGAGAAGGTTTATTCATGAAGTCTACATTAGCGTCCAACAGCCCAAAAAACAGGGGACGGAAGGGGTTTTTAGGACCCACCGGAAGGGGTTTTCAGTTTGTGCACAAAAACCCCAAGTGGCATCCTCCAATGACCATAGTTCATCCTCCAGACCAACCACATCCCAAGTAGTAATTCCGAGACCAGAATTCAAGCCTACTCGGAGATTCTTGTCTAAGACAACGCCTTCTAATGCAGTGGGCACCTTTGTCGTACATAATACGAACCATCCTCCAGCAAACGCACTGCCTTCCTCGTCGTGTGATAGGGTTGACTCCAGTGTGAGCTGGCGCCGAGGTGTGGGCTGAGCATCCCACCCTGGAGCTCTTACCTTCTGGGAAGTTGCTCCTCCAAAGCCACAACTTTTAGCACCCATCGGAACTCCCGCCCGCTTTCGAGCGACGCAAGCGACGGACCAACTGCTTCCGACGCAAGCGCTGAGTCTCTATGTTGCGCTTCCCGAACAACCCGAACAAAGAGAGAGTCTTGGGAAGCACCTGACTGGACATATCGTTCTGACGGGTATGAACTCAGATGTTCCGCTTTCAATGTTCAAGACGCCTCTGCCCAAAATATAAACAAAAAAAAACATGGAAAAACTGGACCCTTGGTGCCCCTATTTCAAGACCAGAATCATTGCTCCAGGTGGATATATATATATATACCTAAAGAGATAAGAACCTATAGCAAAATGTCGGTTCTGGTTCCAAGAACCTCGGCTTTCTTGGGCTGAATGGCCAAGAACCGCGGCTTTATATATGACATCTCTCTCTCTCTCTCTCTCGACCTCGACACGAATCGCAACCGACCGGAAAACACGTCGAGTTCCGTGCGCCAAGGTGCCCATACCGCCCATGCCCATGCCTGGCGCCGGTCACGGCCACGCCGCAGGCTTCCAGGTACGGGGGCAGGGCCCAAGAGATTCATGTTGGACTGTGTCTGCTCAATGGCAGGACCCAAGTACCCTGAACTGGTCAATGACCATCAAACTGCAAACTCGCAGTGGTGACCAGAGAACACAAACACCTGTTGGATCATGGCAAAACACCAGAGAAAACAAATGAGAAAATTCATGCTCGTCTAGCGTAGGGCGTTATTCATCCAGAGTCTACTAGGAGTCTTGTTGAAGTTGACCATTGTCATTGACCATTCCGTGACACCTTTTGTCCATGGCGCCTGATGAGGTGCCTAGGCGCTTTACAAGCTTCCATCGACATGGTCGGTAGGGAAACCCATCGACAATTGGAAACGGTGGTCATTTCCGAAACCCGGAGAGTGATACAAAGCAGCTGTCGTCGTGTATGTGTTTTGTCCGTGTGGTGATCGAATATGTAGGTCGATGATCGAATGTCTCATCAGGCTGGTGCCAAGCACCACCAGGCGAAAGCACCAGGCTACCAAAGTAGAGTCTACCTGTCAAACCGTCCCATCTGCTCCCCAGATCCCACCCATCCCTCCAGGCTCTTCACGTCCCACCAGTGGGGGACGTCCCGGGTCGGGTCTCCACGGTCGTACGCGACGCGACTAATGGGACTGCCATAGGACTGCCAGATCAATTGGGGTGCGTCATGGGGGGTCATGGGGGGTCAATGTAGGCATTTAGTTCCAGTCCGGAGTGGATGGGATATGCTGGTCATATGCTGAACCTCATACCAGCAGTCACGTTCGACGGGGTGCTATCCATGGACTCTCCATGGAGGTTAGGGGTGCCCACCAGAACATCCACTCACAAACCAAACACGACCCCGTCTTGTGACTGCTGGTATCAGGGTCTCTCATATGGGTGAACCTGAAAACCCCAAACCACCATAAACAACACGGGGTGAAGGCCTCAAGGGTCCACTGAAAGAAACGCGGAAGCGCCTCGGACTTGGTGCGCCCTTCGCGCCCGAACCGAACCACAGCCGGGTTCGGCAGACCTCCCAAGCGTTCTGACCTCCCCCAGTGGGTTCGCTTCGGGACATGTCGACCAGTCGTCCACCATTCCGTCCCCGGTCTCCATGACTTGAAAGACACCACCATTCGGAGACCGAGCGAATGGGCCTCCAACCTACTAGCCTTCTGGCCTCCGCTACTCGCTACGCGAAGCGAACCGATCTTTTGGGCGAAGCGAACCTCTCCAGCTGGACCCGAAGCGAACCGGCCCGCTGTGGGTCTTAGAGACGCGCACGCACGCGCACGCACGCGTGTCTCGTTGCTTCGGGCCTCCGTTCATGCCCATTCCACCTGCAGAAATGACCAGGAAGGAGGTCGAAAACAGGAAGGAGGTCAGCTTACTATGACGATGATAGCATGTATGAAGTTGATGCTATGTTCTCTTCGGTAGTCTTGAGTAGATGTTCCCTGGATTGGATTTCCTGACGTTTGGGAGCTATCACCTCCCGTCACTTCAGGGAAGTCTTGAGACAAATCAACACGGATCTCAAAGACTTCGGTGCATCGCCACGATCCGCGCCCGACTCTTCCGTCCAACGGAGATCCGCGCAGCACTTTGGGCAACCGGTCCCCGGTACCAGATGGTGGAAGAGTGATGAAAACTTCCGCCATCTGTTTTGTGAAAGTGATTCCTCCAACCAACTCGTCTCATGTTTACGAAGACCTCATGTGGATGCACCAAAACGGAGGCGATGGTGTTTTCGTTCGTGAAGGGTTGGAATGCTTTCGGAATGCTGGAACTCTCTAAAGATCGAAACATGGTGCGGCAAAAACCCTAAAGCCCCAGGGTGTTCAACAGGGTGTTCAACACACAGCTGTGCAGCCGGAGCCCTGTGCAGCAGCACGGTCCTTTTTGGAATCCTATATATATATACCCTAGAAGTCCAAAGACTATATTTTGACCGGCTGGAGTAAAGGAAGTTCCCTTTCAGTTCCCCTAAAGATCATTCTTTTTATAGTCTTTGACTCCCAGGGTGTATATTAACTGAAAAAAGAGTAAAACACGTCGTGACGGAGTACGAATCACGTGAAGCACCGGTGAAGCACCAGGCACATCCCCCCCCCGAAGCAGCGAGGAGTCAGACCGAAGAGCCGTCCTTCACACAGATCCCATGGGATCTGGGTCGCTGGACCCTTGACCCTTCGCCGCCATATTGTCCACGTCGATGTGGAGGATTAGCCACCCGGATGTAGCAACCCAAAATCCGAGGTGTATAAACAAGTGAATGTCCTTTTACTATATATGCAAAAGGCGGCAGCAGAAGACCCCCCCCGGGTGGCCGGGCCTTGAGGCTGCCTGGGCGCGGGGCTGTTCGCAGCGGAGGGCCACACAGAAAGAAAAAAAGCCCACCGAATTCGAAGGGTGTTTTTGGTCTGTCCACATGCATTTGGTGGACGATGCTTCGTTCGCTCCTCAACACCGAAGAAATCAGCAAGTCAGCGAGACAATCATAAGCTTCTTCCTGCAGTCTTCGAGCTCGCACTGGATCTCGGAGCTTGAGGTCAACTTGGCAAACACGGCCACAGGGTATACCGTACACTAGGCAGGGAGGGTTGGGAGACGAAAATCTGTGGAGCCTCCCTTCTTTGACATTTGACTTCCTGAAAACCAGAGGTAGAGGTTCACTCAGTGGGTCCAGTCTGAACCATTTTGGCACCTGTACCATGAGCCACGACCACTAAAGGTTGAGAAAAAGGTGATAGAAACATGTCAGTCATAGCTTTTAGTTTTGGAATGATCACGACCAATGGAATATATGGGAAAATGGTTCCATATACCAGTCTGTTCGCTGTTGAGAGAACGCCCAAGTTAGGAGGTTGACCACCCGCTTTCTTTCAATGTGCTAATTACAAGTCTCACAAAAACCGATCCCCAAAGCCACCGCGGTCGAAACAGGTAGATCCGAGTAATTAGGCTCCAATCGAAAGGACCCAAGGACCTCTAAATATAGATCTTCCAAGTATGCATCTGCCTTCTGCCTTCGGTTTTCTGGATGTTGTTTCGAAGATCCGACCCCTGCGGGGCGCGCCAACCCGCCCGGGTCCGGCGTGTTTGGTGCCGAGCGGCTCGGGCGCGGAGCCATCGCTGGGCCTGGTCCAAGTGACCTCCGGCCGTCCGGTGGCTCCGAATGGCCGGGTGTTTCGAGGGGAGTTGGGCGCGGAAGAGGTGGAACCCATCGGTAGAAGGTGGAAAAACACCGTGGGACCGTGGGGCGGTACGGGCGGAAAGGCCGGCCTTGTTCCTCAGGCCTTGGATCCCGATTTCGCGCGGAGACACGAACGTTTCAAGGGGGCGGTTCTCCGCTGTTTGAGTCGATGCACGGGATGACTCCGTCACACCACGTCGGTTTGCAGAAGTGAGTGGGTCCATCATACTGTTGCCTCCTGAGATGGATTCCTCGTCGAACGTCATTGATGGCAATGCATTCGAACATATTCAGATCCCAAAGTGAATTTCAGTGCTTTTCTCTTGTCTTCTCTTTTCTCCCTAGCTGACCTGCCGGGCTTGTTGCCACCATCCTCTTTGCCCCCGAGCTCAGTGGCCCTCGAACCAAACAATTCGGCTCCCAGCTCTCAGTTCGGCTGAAACGTGACCGGAGCAAGTCGGCCTGGCCTCATTCGTGGCCGTATTGTGGTAGTACCTGGGCAGTTCGTCAGCTCGTCACGTCGAGGAAACCGTCTCCGAAAACGTCGGTCGAACGGCACGGTCGAACGGTCACGGCGTCGAACGGAGTGAAGACACCGGGGGAACAGGCAGTTCTGAGGCACTGACCTCCTAGAAAGGCTTTCGTGGGATGCAAGGCTGGTGCGATGACGCGATCACAGTGCCTTCGCGTCATGCGGAGGTAAGGAGGTGCGGATGCACAGAGTACAGGTGTTTCAAACATCTGCACACTAGGCACTGATTCTCCTCTGGATCTGGCTGAAGATGTTCAACGCCCCAGGACTAAGGAGTTGTCCCTATCCATGTCTGGGGGGGGCCCTTCTTGAGTTGACCGCTCCTTGACTCGGTCGGTCAACCAGATCGGTTGGACGGGGCGCCACTCGGGCCCCAAGTCCAACGAGCAAGTGGCTCGGTTGATCAAAAGCGGGACACCCGGATGGTTTTTCCCACAGAAAGTGAGCAGAATGGACGATTTGACATAGCCAAGCCTCCAAGGTTTGGCCTCCGGGTTTGGACCGCCGGTTGACCCTCTTAAGCCTTCAAACAGTTCCAGATTCGACCTTCACAACAGCCACTACCTCAGATCACTGCTCAGGACGGCTCAGTTGCCCCTTTGCCAAGCTGCGGATTGCCAGAGGACGGGTCGATATGCTCAGCCCACCCTGATGGGATGTCGCTCTGAGCGAGTTCAGCAAAACTCCAAAAGAACCAAGCTGGTATGCTACTGGTACTACTGGTCATGAACATATTAGACGGTAGATATAGGTATGACATAATCTGATGAACAGATACTGTGTATTACATAAAGTTGTGTGTGAATTATCTGGAGAATTGACCTTAACAAGACCATGTTTGTCGTTCAGAAGGGTGCCTCGGAGAACACGATTCCTCGGCCAGCGCCCTCCAACAGGTCACCAAGTGAGGATCGCTTGTTCAGCCCAACCCACAACTCAGGTCCGATCTGGTAGTTCTTGTCCTATGGAAGATCAATGGGTGATGTCTCGGCACGTCTCTGAGTCTCTGAGTCTAAGGAACCAGGTTAAATGCCAAGATGGCAGGCGACTGTCTTTCTGCTGGGTCGTGCATGGTGATGCTGTGCTTATGGGGTGGATCCCCTTTTGAATCAAGCAGACCGGTCTCGTTCTGCACATAGCTCTGTTACCCGCAAGAAGCATCAAGTAGTCAGGCAGCTGGGCAGCGTCCAACTTGTCTGCGAAACGGCATGTAGCGTCTCGTGTATACACCTCTCCTTCAGGTTCCTTTGATGCACCAAATCCCTTCATCTGGAAAAAGACATGGACCTCCCACATCCTGTTCACCCCCTCACCCCCTGGCCCCCCACCCACGCTTCTCGTTTCACCTGGCCGCAAACAACCACGCCCCCATCCTCCTCCATCCTGGGAACGCACGGCTCGAACCCCCGCCACGCCGCCACGGCTCGAAGCCGCGCGCCGGCGCTTCTGAACCGCGCCTGGTGGAAGCGACATCTGTGGCACCGGAGATCCACCGATCTGAGCCACGACCAAAACTTTTCTGCGGCGCAGGCGAGGTTCCAAGGCGGACGGGACCGGTCGGTCAAGCCCCACGGAACGTGGACCATTCGGTGGAACGGACAGCGGTGGAATGGACAGCGGTGGAGTCGGTGTGTAGAAGAAGATGAGATACCTGGAAAGCCTGTCCCAAGCAGAAACAGTTCGGGATGGAACTCCAGTCCCCAGCCACTTGTGATGTCAAGGATCTCAATTTCACGGATGGGGAAAACATGGAACAACCTGGAACAACCAACAGAGGTTGAAGGACTCAACTAGGCTATCCCAGTTCGGTACCCCTGTAGTGTCCTATTTACGGTCACTGGATACCTCTGTGGGTCACCCATTGTCCTTATGTGTCTTTCTGCTTGGGACCACGGCAGAACGGTGCTGCCCTGTCGCAGGGTCGACGGCGAAAACCGCTCCGGGAGGTTCGTTCGGCCAGCCCCCGACCTGCTGGGCCCGAACCCAAAACCGATCGGGGTTGGTTTCGAAACCCCAGACCCCTGCAGGATTTGGCTTGGTTTCCCCAGACCATCCCAGACTTGGGAGGGTCCGCTCGCGGGCAGATGGCATTGACCATCAGAGACAGAACTGCGATTGCTTTTTCTTTTTGAAACAACACACCCTGTTGTGGTTCTAAAAACCCGACCCACGCCAGCTCAGACCCTTCCCAGTTTGCCCCAAAACAGGGAGAGATTAGGACGGCTTGGTCAGCATATCTCCACAGATGGTCGTCATTGAAACCCGATGTCCAAGTGTTCCAAAAACCAATTCAGCTTGTCCAGCTGTGACTTCCGGGTTTCGTGCTTCGGCGACCAGCTGAATCACATCTTTGAGATGGGGATGGCAACTCATGGGGCCTGGTAGGTATACCATCGGAAGGGCCCTTTTTTGAACGGTCCAACCCCCAAAACATGATGCGGAATCAGAAGTCCCACGAAAACTCGCAAGTGGATGACTGTGGATGGGGTGTGTTGGGAGGTCGCACCTCTCACCCAGGGTGATGCCAACTCGATCGGTTCATCCCACAGCACCCTGGGCTGGAGTCCCTCCCAAAGCTTCTCAGGAAAATGCTGAACTTCGCCACTCAGGGCGAACTGGGAGATCGAAGGCTAGTATGGAAGGGTCCGAAGAAGGTGTCGGAAGAAATGGAGCTTTGATTCACAAGGGTTCCGATGGCAGTCGGTGTCCAACAAGGCTCTCAAGGTGTCAGGTCAGGTGGTCCCATCATCCCAGGTTCGATCCCACCACCGCTCGATACGGCCACTGGACATGGCTGACCAGCGGCATTGACGTAAGACCCCTGGGATCGAATTCCGCCCACCACCCAGCTTGGGCAGCTGTGGGTGGGATGAAGAGCCCGTGACAGGTGACCTACCTCTGGGATGGTTGACCTCGAAAAATGAGCTGAATGGACCACTGTCCATCTACCGGCATTTGCAAAACTCCAACCTTGGACCCACGCCCACGAAATATTCCACCAGATCCTATAAGATCCCCCCAAAAAGACCATGCCGTGCACACCGACCACCTCTCCAACGCGCGAAGTCACGGTGAGCCGCGCGCGAAGTCGCACGCCGACCTCTCCGGCCCTTTAGGGCCACCCACCCACGCCACGCAGAGGAGACTCACCGACGCACGGACCACCTGCAGCCGGGGTCCGGTCCGGTCCGGGCGGTGCGTAAAAGCCGTGGGCGTGGCACCGGAAGATCTCCATTCTCCGCCACAGCCCCCAAACCATCAAAAGGGCTTCAGATCCGAAATCCGACACCACAGGTATAGAGACAATTGTATGGTCTGCAAACCTTCCTCTCCGCATGGACCGTAGACCTGTAGACCTCTCCACGGGGGCGCAGCCAAAAGCAGACAACCGTGGGTTGAATGGACCGGAATCAGCAGGGCCAGGGCCAGAAATCCCTTGCCAGGTCAGTTCCAAAGGGGGTAGTCTCTAGACCCAGCCAGTGAGGGGATGTTCAAAAGTTCCAAATGGGGTAGTCTTTTGACCCGGCCAGTGAGGAGATTTTCAAACATCCTTTTTGGTCCAGGAGTTTGGGTAGTTTGGGTAGTGAGTGGATGTGACAGGGGCACCCCGACGTCCTCTTATAAACAGCACCCTTTTGGAGCTGCTGGGTATTGGAAATCTGTTGGACAAGGAACCCCCTTGACAAACTGAATTGGACACATTTGGAGGAGTCCTACTCTATTTTGTCATTGGTCTCCGTCTTGGGACCTTTTTGTCATGTGAATCTTCACGCAAGTGGAACCACTCCGAGGTCCAAGCCTATCCTCTTTTGGAACCACGCGCAAGGTCATGTGAGTTTGTTGGAAGGGGGCAACCACTCTGGGATGTCCAACGAAGCTGTGCGAGTGAACAGCCGTCTTGCAGTTCTGGTTGTCCTTTCAACGCTGGTGGTGCAACGGGAGGTCTCCGACATAGACACCTAATGGCAGCTCCGCAGCTCGGCTCCAGCAAGCACGGCTTCCGAGCTCCAGGAGCCGAAGCCTCCTTGGGCCACCTATTTAGGGTCATTCCCGAAGAAATTGGAAGACTCCTTATACGAATACCAAGCCAAAAAAGCTTCCAGCCCATGTCCCCCTAACTCTCCCTCGTCCCTTTGCTGAGTCTGCGCGCCCGCGTGGTGCGGTGCGCCATGACGGGCAACCCGTTCTCTTCAGCTCAAGAGCTGGTTCTTGGTCCCAAAAGGGTTGCAGAACGCGTGAACATCGCGCAACGAGCTCCCGGGGCGCGGCACGAGCTCCGCGAAACGCACCAAAAGCTCCTTCGGTGTTCCGGAAGTTCCATCTGCCGAAGCTTCGACCGTTCCCCTCTGGTCGCTGCTTTTTCGCGCCATACCGGAACGTGAAGCTTCGGGGGGAACCCCCGGTGAGTAACGGGCAATACCGGAACGTACCGGGCAAAACCGGTGAGTGGCACACCATGGAGTGAATCTAAAACCAAGAGTTGTAGATGAGAAATCATAGATTGAACAGTTTGGTGAAACTTGTGATGTCAATATGGACTGTAGGATAACCCATTTTTTGTTGGAATGCGCTCCTGTGTGGCTTACTTGAATCAAACACTTTAGAGACGCCAATCAGCAGTATCTGCTTTCCCCCTCTTCGAACAGCCTTTTCTTTGCCATCTTCAAAGGGATGGGTGGGTGAGCTGCCTTGATTCGCTCGATATTCCCTTCACCCTCAAGACTGCATCCCCCAAAGCTGAGATTGTTGGGACCAAAAACCACGTCTGACGGGCTACAGCCGCACCGGTTCACGATCTGCAGTATATAGAAGTCCTGCGAATCCCAAAACAAAGTTCGAGTTGACCCATCTGAAAGTGACCAATCTGAAAAAATCCCAATCTTTCTCAACCTCCAAAAAGCTTTGGAGTCCTAAAGCTCGTTGCCGGCTCGGGCTCGCTTCCGGCCCAAGTGGGGGGGATGACGGATCCCCATCCACGCCTTCAACGGCTCGATCGCAAGAAGCTGGATCACAGGTGTACCAATGAGAAGACACGTCGATCGGATCCAAGAAGCTCACCATCCTCTGGAGTCAACTCAAATCAACTCAACATTGGTCAATTCATTTGGGAACTGGTTATGATCCGTGGATCCAGTAAAACACTCAATCCATCTAGGAAAACCAGAAGGGTGAGTGTTAGGGCTAGCATCCAAAAGTATGCACACAACCTAAGTTTCCCCAAAATACACTGCCCAACCTTCCAACGTTTCTGTGCCACAGGGGGGTCACTGCGCCTTTACAGCCCCGAATCAGCGGTCGACCAGACCAGGACGGCTTGGTGTGAGACGACGGGTGTACCACGGCCACGACGGGTGACACGACCACGTCAGGGTTACCAGTGGCCTCCCAACAATCGGACCGCCCATCTTTGTGGTCGCTGGAGTAACCTGCTTGTTCCGAACATTGAAGTCCTTGACTTCAGGCTCATCTCACCCGAAACCAAGATCAGCCCCAGAGGCCATGTCCCCTTTTCAAGCGCTCGTCACGGTCACGGCCTTGCCGGCCGGCCAGGCGGGTTGCCTGAGAGACCGACGGTGGGACACTGCGAATGGACGTGTCGGCTCGAATGGACAGAGAAAAGGGAACTGCGAAAGAAACCATGCATTCTTGAGATGCGTCTAAGTTCGGAATGGTCCGCTGGAATTTCTCTTTTTGGCCGGGGAAACATGGACTGTTCTATATCCGCCGACCCCGGCCGATGGAAGGGGGAGCGCGCCAGGGACTACAGGTGTGGGAGTCTGCATTAGGCAATTGTTGGTATCGGCTGACCTTGGATTTGTAGAGGGTTGGCTGGGGCTGCGGCGACCAGTCGTTGATAGCCGCTGACTTTGGATGTGTAGATGGTTGATAGCCGCTGACTTTGGGCTTGCGGCCCATTTGAAGCTGTGGCCACAAGTTTCATCATAGGGTCCGGATGGGCGAGAAAAGTTGGAGAAACCCATTTCTTTTCTCGGGATTGAGATGGGGGAAAGCTGTGGCGGCGCCGAGCGTTTGGGGTGGTATCAAGCCACTGGTGGGGGCTTGTTTGAAGCTGCGGGCTGTCTAGACCTGCGGCCCCTAGGCCAGGATGAGAAAAATCTTTTCTAAGTATTCCGACGCAGCGTTTGGCAGCGAAAGTCCAACAAATCGGGGCCGGTTTCAGAGCAGAACTCTATGGCGAAAAGCTGTGGCGGCGCCGAGCGTTCGGGGTCATGTCAAGCCACTGGTTGGGGCTTGTTTGGGGCTGCGACCTAGAGAGCTGCGTCCACTGGTAGCAAGCCACTGGTGGGGGCTTGTTTAGGGCTGCGGCCTGTTTAGGCTTGTTTAGGGCCGGCCTGTTTAGAGCTGCGGCCACTAGGCCAGGAGATAGGTGAGCAGGTGAGAAAAGAGGTGGTATAGGTGAGAAAATATAAGTGATAGGTGAGAAAAGTGGGAGGGAAACCGTTTCTTTTCTAGGTATTCCGACGCAGCGTTTGGCAGCGAAAGTCCGACAAATCGAGGCCCGTTTCAGAGGAGAACTCTATGGGGGAAAGCTGTGGCGGCTCGGGGTCATATCAAGCCACTGGTTGGGGCTTGTTGTGGGCTGCGGCCTGTTTAGACCTGCGGCCACTGTGGTATCAAGCCACTGGTGGGGGCTTGTTTGGGGCTGCGGCCTGTTTAGAGCTGCGGCCACTAGGTTCAGATAGTGTCGGAAGGCCAGGACGGGGAGAAAAGTGGTGAAAATCCATTTCTTTTTGAGGGATTCAGACGCAGCGTTTGGGAGCAAAAAGTCCGAGGCTTTGAGGCCGGTTTGGGAGCACAACTCTACAGGGCAGAGCTGTGGCAAGGCCGAGCATTCGGCGGGGCGCTATCACGCACGGTGACTTCCCTCCACACTGGCTGGCAATGAATTTCCATCACGCTGTCAAGTTTCTTCGCCTCACTGGCCCCAGGCGCAGCACTGTCGCTGCGCCTTCTGTTTTTTCGGCGTGCCACCTAAGCCCCCTCCAGGTGCGTATCCGGTCGCTGCCATCAGCGGCGCACTCGACTTTGCCGCGGCTTCACCGACGCTCTTGCCCGAAGCTACGCTGCCGCGTGGGATGCCGCGTTCTCCGGCACGATGTTTCAGGCGCTGGAGCCAAATGTACATACCCCGAGCCACCCCTTGCAGTTTGCACCTAAAAAAAAGCTTACTCTAAGTGCATGCTGACTGTTGCACCGAATGCCCCCTACCACTTCCAAAACCGTCAACCGCTTAGGTCGCGTCGTCTTCGTCCGTCGGCCCCCGCGCGCCTCCTCTCTCTCCGGCGGCTCTCCCGACTTTTGGCTGCTAGGGGCAGCCAGGGCAGTCAGCCTCCGTCGCTGGGACGGATGCTGCCGGGGTGCCCCACACCCCGGCCCCCGTCTTGCACAGGGAGGGTTGGTCTCTGTCGGCCCCCTACCAACTGAGGACGTTCTCGCCGTAGACCTGCCACGACACGCACTAAGCTGCTTGTGTGGGTTCTGAAGCAAGGAAAAGACAGTGAGAGAAAGGGAGAGTGAGAGAAATCGTGCCACAGCTCCTGCGTCCTCAAACGCAGTCCGCAACCTCTCCATTACCACTCCATTGGAAAATGTTGCTTATTTCTCCTCCACCCCTTGCTACGCAAATGTAAGTTTGATACAGCCATGGCGCCATCCTTCCATTCACCGACGCTCCCTGCATAGCAGACTGTTCAGAACGATAGTCTGGACAAGTCCACGCCCGCTTCGCTCTACTCCGCACACCTTCGCGCTCCACGGTGTCGGCCCGTTCTGTTCCTTACTATTCACGGTTGAAACCTGCTGGCTTCAAACCACTGCGTTTAGACGTTGCCTTGGGCGGCTGACATCAAAACATTCTTTTCAAATAGAAATTACGGCACATGTATCAAACTCACGGGCCCTGGCTGAGCGACGCTCTGACCCCGCGCCCTTTTGTTCTGTTTCTTGCTTGTTGCACACGCAGTGACGCGTACTCACTCCCTGCCTTGCCACACTCCTAGGCAGGCGACGCGTCCAGCGAGCTCAAATCTGTTCATCTTTGTTCAACAACCTTTCGTGACAACTTCTTTGTTTCTTACTGGCTAGTCCTCCGCTGGAAAATTTTCCCCGTTCCCATGGTCCGTACACTGCTACGACACGGTCTCTTTGATAGATCGAACACCATGGTTCGTACAAATCCCTTGCCTGCCTCTGTTCATCATCCCGCACTCTGACTGGTGCGTGTTGTTGTGTGGCCCCTTTCACCGGCCAGCAATTTCATGACGGGCTGGGACTACTAAATCACTAACAGGAAAGGTTGTCCTTGGGTCATTGTTATTTGCATGCGTACGAAAATAACAATTCTCTAGCATTGCTTCCTGCACGAATTATTTCTCACACGCTCACACCGGCACCGCCTTCCCCACCCGGTGTACCAGTGTATTTGCTGTTACATGTTTATGATTGCTCCGACTGCGACATCTTCTCCAGCCCGGCTGCCACTAACGGTCTTGCTTTTTTTTCTGGCTGCGACACAACATTTGCAGGACGCGCCATCCAAGAGCTGCCGAAGACGGTGCGTCAGTCACCCGTGCGAAGCCGTTGAGCGACGCTCAGCAGTTCTGCCCTTCAGTCCAACCTCTGCAGCACCCTGCCAGGGCGACCGACTGCCACATGAGTCTCCGCCTGCCGCTTGGTCACTCTTTTGGCCCAGCCGCCGTACTGGCGGTCGATGTCGGTAGGATCAAGGTCGAATTTGATGGCTCGGGCGCCACCCTGCGCGATCAAAAGCCTCGACGGCTGACCTTGCTGCCTGGCTGCCTCATTGAAATGCACGCAGATGGCCTCGAGCACGGCTTGGCGATCCACTGCGTTCAGCCCATTTGCAGTCTCTTCAACCCCATCCACCACCAGGCGCACCAAAATGGTGCTGTACAGAGACGCCTTGTCAACGTACTCAAAGGAACGATCTTTGCACATGGCCAGCTGATACCTTGGTTCTGCATCTGTTCCATCGTGCACGGCCCACTCCACGTTCTCCGGTCGGGTTAAATCATTCCAGTTGGCTCCTCTTGCAGAGCGCTGCTGAACGACGTTCTGCAGGACACTGGGCAAAGAGTGCACGGCTTTCAAAGCGGTGGCCAACATTTTCCGGTTTGCAGAGATAGACGGTGCCAGGACTGCCGTCAAGCGTTGGAAGAAATCGGCGATCTCACCGGAGGCGCTCAAAGCTGCGTCCAACAAAGTTGGCGAAGGGGGGGCGGCCGGGAGCACCGCTGCCTCTGCTGCCACACGATCTCGCGCATCTTGCTCGACCCAGACGCCGACCTGGCAGTCGGGGAGACCAACCCCAAACTTTCATTTCCTTTACACTTGTTCTTCGATGTCGTTTCCGATGTTCATGCTTTTCTAAAAACACCGTGCAGTAGCCACCTGCTACCTCAGCGAAACTGCCAGCTATTCCACCACAAAGCTACAGGAATACCTAGCTAACTTTCCCTTCGCTCTACGGACAAAACAAATATGTTACTCATTTGTTTTACCCTACACTTTAACCACAGTTTGGCTTCTGCCCTGCAACCACCGGCACGCGCCGTAGCTCCCGCCTGGTCCATAGTCTCCTCGACTACGGCCAAAGCTCGCCCAATCTCTTCCGCCACGGCGGCCAGCGGTTCCTCCATTGCCTCAGGCCTGTCGTGGTTTCGCTGGAAATGGTCTCGGACTTCATTGGTGCCTTGGAAGAGAATTTGTTGCCGTTTGTTGTTCTTGCAGAACAAACACGACAAAAACCCTTCCCGTCGGGTCCCTTCTCTCAAGCCCAGAGCGACCCAATTCTCCACCTCTGCCCGAGTGAGTCCATGGTACCAACTTTGCCCGGCTGCCACTGCAACATCTGCTCCAAAACCTGCGGAGTAATTTCCCGCACCATCGGCGGCACAGGCATGTCTGTGTTGCGAGAGTTAGACCTCTGGCTTGCACGTCGCAGGTCCCTGTTCGCAGGCACAACTGTTTTGAGCCTAAGTCTGCACAGTCACTCTATCTGTCACCCTATCAGGCTTCGAATGTTTTTCTTCGAGACAAGCACCTCTTTGATGCCTGCTTTCCATGCTTTGTCATACCATCCCTGAAAAACAAACAGCTTGCCCACCCGTCAGTTCACTGCCACTCCAAGCTCATTCCCTCTGCACCATGCTCCCACCACCCACCCCGCCTCCGCTGCCGGTCCACGGTTGGCACGCTTCCCCTCTTTGAGCTTCGTTACCTGGCTGGCTTACAAAGTGGTCGCGTCCCTGCGTTCCAACTGTTAGCACCTAACGCACTCATCTACCTGTCCCTCTCTACTGTGACAATCAACCCGGTTTCTAACTACTACACGGGAAAAAAACCACCAGCTCTTTCCATACCCTCCCAACTCGGCGACTCGAATCCGTATCCCCATGCATCCTGCGCTCGCTACCCCTCTTGCCTCCAACTTGACGCTGCTCTTACCATACTATCTCTTACCATGTTGCGGTCCGTGTGTTCTGACTGTGTTCTAGGACTGGCGACGGTTATGCGTACCACGGGTGTCGCTACATCGTCTTGCTGCAGACTATGGCTAGGGGTTTCAAGTAACAGGTTGCATTTCCGCACACGTGTGTCTTGACTATGTTGCGGGACGGGTGAGGGTTGGGCGTACCACTGGTGTTCCTCTTTCGGTTCTAAGACTCTGTCGTGCGAGTGGCTGGGTGTCATCCAACGCATCTTACCACCGCGACGGCTCTCCCGACTTTCGACTGCTATCTGCAGCCAGGGCAGTCAGCCTCCGTCCGTTGGACGCATCCTGCCGGGGTGCTGTACGCCCCCGATAGCTGCACGTGCACCCGACCCAGCCCTCCACACACCCTAGTGTGCCGGCGCCCGGCTGTTAGGCGTAAGCCTTTAAATAGTAGATCTTTTCAGAAACACTCTATGAGAAACGTGGTACACATCAAAAAGGCGGTGAACTGCGCGTCACAAGAAAAGACAACTTCCCATTTCAACCACCACCTATATGTGATATTCTACTTTGGGCTACGCTAAAGGATGCCAGGGAAACCAACTTCAAGTCCCTCTGTCGCCACACGAGCATTTACTCTGCGATGTAACAAACATGAAAGTGGAAAACCCCCTGTGGTATTCGGAAAATCGTCTTCCTTGCAGGGAAGATGAAATCCACGTTGGCCCATGCTAGTTCGAGGGATGACTTCAAGTCTTTGTGGGCATCTTGGATCATCTTGGTCAATCCAAACTGACTTGGACTAAAACAACTTGGGTGTGCAGGTTTCAAGCTCTTCAACGCAAGCTGATCAATCGAACACTTTGAAGGCGTCTCTCGTGCAGGAAGCATGTGGGTCGAGTGTTTACTGGACCGAAGAAGCGGTTGATCTGAGGGGTGGAGTGCAAAACCTCATCTGAGGGGTGGCCTTGAAGAAAGGTGCCTTGGGAGAATTGGACCATTCAGTGGCTCTTGAGGTTTAGTGAGCTCCACTCCAGCCATCAACCCCACACCCATGGCAAAGGCCTCATCGACCATCAAAGCCCAGCAAAAGCCACAACTATTAGGTTGGAGTTGGAGGCCATCTCTATAGTAGGGTGAGTGGTGCAGCTGTGAAGCCAACGAACCACCGAAATGCCAACGCCTCCTCCGATGTCTTCCTCCCCAAACCCATGTGCAGCACACGAACCGCCACCACAGTCACGGAACTTCCAACCAAGGTCTTCGGAACCCCAAAAGGGGTGTTGTTTCCGATGCTTCCTGATGTTGCGGGGGGGGCAAAGCCCAGAGCGTTTCCTCAACTCTCTTTGGGAAGTCCCGGACCACGCAGGCTCTCTCTCTCTCTCTCTGCTTTGTCTTCTCAACTGTTCTGCTTTGCAATCAATCGATTGACAAGATGTTTTCTCAAATGCCTAAGAGGTTTGCCAATGACTTTATCGGGATCACCATAGTGTGTCCCCCCAGAAACATGTTATATATGTTCAATCATGTTCACCGATTCATGTCCATCCCCTGAAACCTTCTTGGCATCAGAGGCCTGGCTTGAGTTTTACCTTTAAAGGATAATGAACCTTCTTTTCAGCTGGTCATAGGAGACTTGATCTCTTCTCCACATGTCTCCACATCGTCCACCTCTCCGACCCCTCTATCCCTCCAACTCGACCCACCACATCGACCCGGTCGCACTTGGGCGAAGCGTTGCGGCTCGGAGAGGATCTGTTCCGACGGATGGGCCCGGCGATGGGGCTCCCGGGGTCCCGGAGTGGTAGGCTAGCTACGAGGGGCCAGGTGGGGCCAGGTGGGAGGGCGGGCGGTTTCGTCTTCCTCGAATGGAAACAGGTGACCAGGTGGATGTTCATTCAAGGCTTTCAGAGGTCTAAGACCGCAAGCGTGACCAGGTGGATGGCCTAAAAAGGAAAAAAAACGATAACGATCTGAGACCAACGAAGGTAGACCGGTGCTGGACGAAGAAGGTGTGGACACCGACAGAAGATGGATGGGATGGAATCTTTCAAAGAACACCAGCATCGGCTTTTTTCCAGATCTCCTTTATAGTACAAAAAGCACCTTCTTCAAACCAGAAGAGGGGGGGTGCTCTGTTCCAGATCTCCTTTGGATTCATGGAGAAAGTTGGTCTATTTGATCGAACTTCAGCCATGAAGAAATACTTCCAGTTTTATCTGATAAGGACTTGAAACACCACTGCTGTGCTTGGGGCGGCTTGCTTCAGAAACCAGAGCACCCCCCCCCTCTTCTGGATGCCGAATGGATCCATGGAACTGACACGGATAGCAAGAGCACTGTTCGGAGAGGCTTACGAGGCTAAGAGATGAAGAGATAAACACCAGTGAAAGGCTCAGAAATTCGGAATGGCCAAGCTGCTTCGCGATTCTGAACACACAAATCGGTGACAAACTGCTCTAATCCATAAATCCCCACCTTCACATACACCTTGGAATATCTTGGAATGTAGGCTGGGAATGGTGGCTTGTCTTTTTCGACACAAAAACAAAGTGCCGTTTCCGAACCTTACCTCGAAGCCAACATCAGCCACCCAACCTCTCTGAGTGTAAAAAACACGAGAGCAATCACACAATACACTCTGAGCTTTAAAAGCCATCGCAAAAATGAACCATCTCTCCATGGAAAGCCTCCAAGAGACAAAAATGCCCCGCCCCTCCCTTCCTTTCATCTCCCTTCCTCGCAGCCCCGGCCTCGGCTCCCTCGCCCTCCAGCTGCCGCGCAGCCGCCTCAGCGCCGCGCAGCACCAGCGAGCAGAGCCGGCGGCGCTCGGCGCCGCCCGGGCGCACCCAGCGGTTAAAGGCCTCGTGCGAAGAAGCACAGGAAGGTCCGCCGTCCGATCTTTGGTGAAGAGAGGTGACGAGAAGCGCCCGTTGTTCTCCACTCTCGGATTGATTTTCTTGGGCTTATCTGTCATGGAACAAAAGACTCATTGATCTATCTCAAGTTGTCAAGGGCTGCGTCGAAGTGTGGATCCTCACGAACCATTATATACTACCACGGGCCTTCGCGTCGTGGGATGTTCCCGGACCGTTGTCCCACGACGGTGACTCCGAACTCGGAGGTCGAAAACGTCTGTCGATCGCGTCCGGGGTCGAGACGGTGCGAGCGGCTGAGACTGCGTGAGGGTGGTGAGACGCCAATGTAGCAGGTGCAGCCCTGCAAGACAAGGTCAAATATCAAAGCTTAGTACACTTGGACGAACACATCACATGGAAGTGGCTTGCATGGCCACCATCAAATCCTCTACAAACAGGTAATTGTCCATTTCCATGTGATGCGTTCGTCGGAGTGTACTGAGCTTGAGTGGCATCTACTTGCAGGTACTGCCACTCCAGAACCGAGGGAGAGAGAGATCCGTCTCATCTCGAAACATGGCCGGTGCCGATCAGACCTGGGATCCAATGATGTTCACATCGGGAAACTGGAAAGCCACCACCAAAATGGTCGTTTCTAAATGGTATTCAAACTACAAAACGTATCCCGTGATGACAGAGGCCATTCGACAACCCAACACTTCACAATCGCTTGCCTCACCCGTTCTTGAAAAATCCCAAAACCTTCAAACAACTCCTTCCCCCCTCCAAAAAAGACATGATTTTCCCAACCACCCGGCCCGAAAAAGAAAACAAAAGGATCCTTTCAACCCGAAACATCTCTCTCCATCTCCCCATCTCGCCTCGATCACCTGCGCCTTGCGCACCTTCCGCAACGCCAAGGCCTCGTCCAAGGGCCGCGACCACAGGAACTCTTGGCCTCGGCCGGACGCGTGGTGTCGGTCGTCGCCACCCAGTCAGTCGCTCAGGCGGGGGCGGTTTGGGGTCTCCGGGCGAGTTCGTCTTCCCGGAGAGTTCGGAGGTGTGGAACGAGAGAGGGTCGGAGAGCTGGAGGAGCGGAGGAGGTGGTCGCGGGCTCCGGAACGCCGCCCGGTCGGTCGCGGGAGGTGTGAAGCAAGCAGGAGTCCGAGTCCGGCGCGAGTGAGTGGTTGTTTAAGGTTCGGAAGGATGAAGCTGTGGTTTGCGATGAGTCCGTGGGGTGCGATACAAACATCGAACTGCATCGTTGTGACCGCTTAGAAGTTGCAGGACCTGGAGAGGAGAGGATGTTCCTGCAGCTTCTTTGTGCCCCCAGTAGCGGAGGGGGTCTCCAGCCAGGACAGTCCAGGACAAAGCTTTGGATCAGTGATATGCTGAAATTCACTGAGGGATCACTTGTTCATACTAGTTTCCTAGAGCCCAACTGACCTCTGTTTTGATAGGAAAAGACCATATTTTGGATAGTTGATCCTCCAAAATAGAGGTCACTCAGGCTCCAGGTAAATTTAGATATTTAAACAAGTATGAATACATATAATATACAATACTACATGCTATGTTTATTAAGTATATCGCTTGATATTTATACAATACTACATGCGTTTTTGGTTTGGGAAAATCGACGAATCTACCCAGCCAGGGCCGAGTCAACTGGCCCCATTTGAATATACACACACATGTCATTCACTTCTCCGAAACACGCTGGGCTTAGCTCTGGACGTGTCGACGCGGGCACGCAGAGCCGCAGAAGCAGTCCGAATCTGACTGGTCTGACTGGTCATGGTCTGAAGTAGTGTTGTTCTACGACAGCCCCTCCAAAAAAAAGTGACTTGCATGGTGCGCGCCGACGGGATTTCGCCACCTCCCAACACACTGCTCACCACTTCTCACCACTTCTCACCACTTCTCACTAAGCAGAATTCTTGCTCCAAGCTCTCCAACAAGCTCTCCCCCACTTTCCCAGATTCCTCTCCCAAGTGGCTCCGGATCTCTCCCCATGACCGTTCCACGGCGCTCAGCAACTGCTGTGGCCGCGCCAAGCGCGCCTGGCTCAAGCGTGCCAAGCGCCGGTTTGTGGCATCAACGGTGGAGAAACCCGGCTCCTACGAAACGGAGCTACTCCTTCGTCTCAATGGAATCCTTCGTCTCAATTGAAGACGTCTTCGGACTCCTTCGTCTCGGAGACCGTGGTTTCACCTCTGGAGACCGTGCAGCGATGGGCTGCCATGATTAAGAGTGGTCTCTGAAGAGACGGAGCTCCGGCGTCTTGGCGACCGGAACGAGCAAGCGGACGCGAACCGAACCGGGGGCTGGCCTTCCTACGAAACGGAGCTAGGAAGGGCCTCTGATCCGACCACTGATCTCACTGGAACTGGATGCGGCTCGGTCCCAAAAAGCACGACTTGGCACTTCTGCCGACCAGCTCGGTGCCTTTCCGGTCGTTGGTTGTGAACATCTCGGACGGGTCCCAGTCTCGGTCTCCCAGTTCCACGGTCTCGACATGGGACGGATCGCCTTCCCGGGAACGACACTGGTGTTGGTGGTCTAAAATCCTTGTTCGAAAGGTATGGCTCGGTCGGTTGGCGCTGAAATCAAAGTTTGGAATCTTGGAATGATCCGTTTTTGGTCCCTGCAAGCAAGGGACAACTCCGAGGTGCTACTCCATTTTTCTCTCCACTCCGGTCGTCCTCCCAGTCCCGTGGCGGGGCCGGCGACACCGTCGTCCGTCGTCCGGTCCGGTCGGGTTGGACACCGCCTGCGCCAGAGAGTCCGCCAAGCTCTGGATCTCAGCGTCGCTCTTGGCCTGAAGACGCTCGCGCCGCGGAACCCCGTCGCGGAAGGGGGAACACGGAGACGCGGGGAACGGGGAAGGGAACAGAACCGGAACTCTTCTTTCGGTTATTTGTCCGAACGAGTGAATCAAGTTTGGAGAAAAGACCTGAGACCATGGATGGTCGGATGGCCTGCAGCCTGCCTCATTGAAAGGATTTTTGGAACAAGTGAAAACAGGAGATCGAAAACAAATGCCTACTTCGTGTTTTGCTCAAGTGATATGTACCTGGTGCCTTTTGCAGACTTAAAAGTTCTAGGTGGTGACCTGTTGGAGGGTGCTGGTAGATGGAGAAACATCTGTACCCATCTGTTCATTTGAGCTTGTGATCAAAAGACCTTGAAATTCCTGTCAATTCCACGCTCCAGGGACTCCAGGGGCTGCAAAGTGCAAAGGCATTGTTTGGTACTAATGAAGGCCCTTCCAAACGAAAGCGTTTCGTCGATCCATATAATCCACAACTCTGTGGATTCTTCAGTGGCTTTGCAGCGTCCACTAACGCGGGTCGTTGCCGGCGAACACTGAGTCTGGCACGACGCACACAGCTGGAATTCTTCTTTTGAGACTCCAAGAGGTTTCTTCGGGATGGATCAACCTTCAACCTTCAGCTGACCTGAACTCCTGTTCACACACCCGCTTCCCTGCCTTCACCAAGCCCCTCCCTGCCTCCTCGGGCGGCCACCCCCCCCCCCACCGCTTCACGGCTCCAACCCCCCTCATTCGCCCGAGTCGCGCCTTCAGCGTGTCGGGCACCGAGTCCAGAAAGGCATCGATCCGCTTCAGCACCTGGACGATCCCGGCGGAGGATCGAAGGACGTCCCGCGCGGGAGGGCCCGCGGCACCGGTGATGTCCGGTTGGCCGAAATCGAAAAAAAGACAGGACTGTCCAGTTGATAACTAGTTAACTCATGTCATCCAAATGTGTGTGGTTGATCCGCGACGATCCGAAAAATGGAAGCCATCCGTTTTAAAACTCGAAGAGGTTTCTCCCCAAAAAAAAAACTCTGCACGTCCTAAGGCGCTCAGAAAAGCTCAGAAAAGCTCAGAAAATCACCGGTGTGGGTCACAACTTTGAGCCCGAAAGCAGCGTCTTCACCATGTCCGCTTCAGTTTTGGTTCATTTGCGTGGGTGAACTCACTTGAGGTTGACTACCTGCCCTGCTCTGTCCTCTACCTGCCACTCTCTCCTCCTATCATTACCGTCATCCTCTTACTTTCGCCAGGAACGCCTCCAGCGCACTTTTGGCTGCCCCCCTGCACCACACACACAAGACCTGGGAGGGCCGGCAGGGCGAGCCCGAGGATGGGTTTCGTCGTCCGTTCGGTTTGGTTGGTGCACATGGGAAAGAGAGATTGAGAGACCCTGGTCTGTGGTACATATGGGATGGGCTATACGGCTGTTCAACCTCTCTTGGATGGCTTTAACATCAGTAGTTCCTACAAAAATGGTTTCCAGGACTCTTGTTTAAAAAAATCAATCACTGGAGGAGACTGGAGGCAAATGCCATCGTCAAGAACGGGGTGATGGGCATACTCAGCCTTCCCCCTGAATTTCCGAGTTTCCGCGAGGCAAGAAGTAACGTACAAATCTCTAATATAATTGTCACAGGAGCAGGAGCTGCTTAACCATCAGGATCAACCTAAATGAACCAAAGAAATCGGAGCACGAACCAACAGAAACCGTTTACTTCTGCCACAAAACCCCTAGCAAAAAAGTTGGGAAAAAAAGAAGAAAGTGAACAAGAGCAATACTCCAAGATGTGAGGGCCAACCAGAATGGGCCATGACGTAACTCATGTGCCGACTGAAGTTACGGGGTGTCATGTCTCCAACACTTCACAACACTTCACCATCCGGGTCCACTGCCGCCCTCCGCCTTGTTCCATTCGCACGAAAAGCGGCTGAAGACGCCCTCGTTGCGGTCGGCACGGCAGGAGACGATGTAGCCCAGCTGCTCACGCGTGCGAAGCTGCTCATAGAACCTGAGGAGAAGTGAAGCAATGAAAAATCTATCCACAGTAGATCACCCACTCTGAACCCTTCAAGGAACTTCAACGAACATGAAACTGAACTCACGAAAACCTCTAGAACATTTCTTTTTATTGCTAACCTGCGCCAAAAGTCCATTGTTTTGTGTGGTTGTGCACGTGCAATGTGTTTTCCAAAAACTCGTGTAAAGGGTTCTTCGTAGAACTGCTGCCAACTCTATCTTCATGCGTCTTCCTTAAACTCCATGTTCCTTAGGTTCCTTCTCCTGTTGAGCGTCATCAAGTCAGTACCCACAGTCAGCTTGATCATCATCATCATCATCATCAACAACAACAACAGCATCATCACGGTGTAGACATGCAGGTCAAGACTTCAAGTGCATCATTGTGTCATAGTTTGATTTGTCATCATGAAGGTGTATAGACACGAATATGTGTAGATGGAGGTGTAGAAATACCTGTGTATAGACACCGCTCTGTAGCCAAAAAAACATAATATATCATAATATGTATTTGTTCAATGCAGGTGCAAAGACATGCAGGTGTTGTCGATATCTCTGGCCTCTGCGTGGCTCCGTGCCAGTGGGAAATGGGACACATGCTGTACATGTGGCATGTTGCTGGTAAGTGTGGCGCCGACGCCCCAGCGCAGCGCAACCCAGCGACGCATCGCTCATCACCGAGGACAGCACCTGCGGAGCTGTAAAAGCTCCGGTCAGCGAGTCCGGTCAGTGGGTCTCTATGTTTGAACATAGACAAACCGGAGCCACCCTAAGGATCTTCCAAAGGTACCACCCTTAGTCAGAAAACGACTGCCCTTCTCTCTGAAGAGACATCTCTTTTGACCGAAAACGCGGTGGGTTTGACCAGCTGCTTCCGTCAGTAGGTAGACAAGTCTCAACTGCTCGAGCTCCAGAATGCATCCGTAAAGGCACAGGTAGATCAGGTAGGTGGTGGCCAGCCAAACACTGTCAGATGGTGCCGCATTTGGCGGCTTGTCACAATCTAGATTGCAGATCACTTATCTGCATGACTGCTATAACTGAAGTTAAATCATGGTAGTGGGCTCAGTGATGTCATGAATCCATGACATCACTGGGTTCCTGTTGGCCAAGACACCATGTGTTCGTGCTCATCACACCAGCCCAAATGACCAAAAACTGGCGCCTGCATCTCAGCCAAGCGCTCCAAGGCTTCTGGCGCTCCACCTCGCGTGGTGCCTGGGTGCGGAGACCGGCCCTGGACCCTGGCCCCAAGGCTATTCTGATCGATTTTCCAAACCCGAACCTGGTGTGGAGTCGGAGGGGTCGGAGCTGGGGTCGATCTTCCTATTTCAATACAGACATCCTTCCTCTGCTGTGAGGCTGCGTTTGCTTCAAGGATCGGATGCAGCTTGGGCGAGGAAGAGGACTCCGGGAGTCAGTTCACGACCCAAGGGCACCAACTGCAGAGTCGCGAGCTTGATTGGCGGTTCCTAACCTCGCTTGCACTGGGTGGTTTCGCCTTAATCCAATTGAACACATTGAGAACCATCTGCCAACACCCCGTGTGAGGAGCACTCCACCGTGGCCCACTCGGTTGGAGGCCTCCTTGGAAGATCACCTCCACGGCGGCATTCTCCTGCGAACGGCGGCAAGAAGGGTCTGGGCACTGGGGAAATTCCGCAGCCTCCAACAGAGGACAGAGGTTGATTGATGCTAGATCTGGGTGGAGTCATATGATTATGAGGAGGAGGAGGAGGAGGATGCAAGCCAAGAGCAACTAGACACATCCAATCTGCACATCTGCCGGTCCCTATATATCTTAACCGCCATTTTCTCTAGGCATGAGCAAAGTCTAATACCTTCCCTCACCAATGCCCATCCAAACGCTTCGAACCGCCGCAGAAACCGCCGCTCTCCTCCGTGCCGTCCATAACCTCGTGCACCAGCACCACGCCTCACATCCGCTCGACCAGGTGCTCGGCCGGGCGAACAGAAGCGGTGCGCAGCGATGGAGTCGGGGTGGAATGACTTTCACCTCACGGAGGACTTTTGTGCACATGGTTTGGGAGTGCCCTGGCGCAAGGCTGTTGTAAGGATCTGCAACGTGACACACCTTTGTGGCATCTTGCGTGATATTTCAGTTGGGTACTGCGAAAGTTGTGTACTTGTTAGTCTTTTTATGTCATTGTTCCTTATATGTATGTATCTTTGATGAAATTTAAAAGGTCCAAGACCATTGGAAAAAATAGAAAGCCCTCCTTCAGATAACCTGAAAGGGATTCTTCCTTCACTAGAAGCTTTGGTCTCCAACCTCCTGCGAGTCACTTTCTCACGATGTTCCCTTCACGATGAGTGAGAGGATTCTGCATAGGTATGCATGAGATGAGTGGGTGCGAGATGGTCGAGTGATGTGTCTGCTAAGCTACTTAGTACATACTTAGTATGTGTTACTTGGTTTGAACATGTTGAAGGGTGGAAAGGGTGGGGAGCCCTTGTTTCCCCAGGAAGCAGCTGGGAATAAAGGTGGCAACATGGAGGCGACCTTTCCTCAGTCTCTTCTGCTTAGACCAAATCTCCCCCATCGAGGTGTCTACGCGTGTCTACCCTCGGGACAGCATCTAGCTTGCGGATGGAAGAGGAGACTATTAGAGTCCTCTGCCATCACAACACCTCTGCCTCCCCATCCGCCCGTGGACCGCCCGGTGGAAAAGCACAGAAACACCCAGAAGCCGAAAAACAGAACTATGGTAGGTCTTCAATGGTAGGTCGCACCCTTATTGGACTCCGCCCGAGGACCCAGGGACCCCCCTATGTAAAATCGTGCGACCGAGGTTTCCTTATTAGCGGGGGGGACCCCGTGGTTTTTCATCGGTGGTATGGAGGTCTTACGACGCCTCCACAGATCGCAGAAGAAACTGCGATAGATTTCTGGTGGAAGATTCACAGGTCCCCAGACACCAGACTTTGAGGAAAAAAACGTGCTTCCAGGCGTCAACCCAAGTGCTGGGAACAACCCCCTCACTTCAACCAACTCTCTTTCCCCCCTTCGGCTGCCTGGCCCTTGTGGCCTCACGGGCACTTGTGCAATGCGCGGTGCTGGCGCTTCCTGTACGCGAAGGGCCCACGGGGTGAAGCCTTCGGTCCACTTCTTCTCAGCCGTAACTAGCCCAGCCCATCCAGGTCTTTCATGGGTCTGGTGAAGTTCGGCTGTGGGTCTGGTGATGTCTGGTGTCCTCCGACTTCGGCTTCCGCCGCCGCACAGCTCCCAGCACTGTCTCCCTCCGAAATCGGTCCTTCACCTCCTCTCGCAGGCGCACGCCCAAGATGTCCCGGATCCGCCTCACCAAGCTCTCCTCGGTGTCGAACACCCACCGGGGACGTCCGGGTGACCCGGAACACCCAGTGGCGCCACACGAAGCACACGAAGCACCGACCTCCAGGTTCACGGAGGCTTGGGGCCAACCAGACCAAAAGATCTTCTGCCAGTTCCGGGCTCAAAAGCAGGGGGTCAGGTTCCGCTCCCCAAAAATCGGATACCATAGACATGCATTGATGGTCGACCGGAGCCAGCGGCTGCGCGGCCGCCCGCGCGGCTGCGTTCATGTGCTTACGGTGGTTGACCGCGGCCTACCGAGGACCCAATTCCCCAGAGCCATGGACGGGCAGCCGGTCCCGGGTACTGAAAGCCATGGAGCAACAAGTGCCATTGAAGAAGTCCTCAAAGGAACAACACAACCATCAAGAGCACAGCGGGATGTAGGTGACCACCAACATGATACTCATCAAGGCAGCATATCAATCTCTACTCCCAAAGAAGTCTCCCCTCCTCCGAGCCGATCATATTCTTGCCTGATCGACCTACCCTTGAGGTGCCCGAAACCATTTCCCCGCCGCCGTGCTTGTCCAGTGGCACCCTCGTCCTCCCGCAGGTTGCCCCAGCAGAGTGAGGCACTTGGCGCGTTTCTGCTGCTGCGGCGACAGGAGTCCCAAAGTTCCACGGCAAAGGAACTGACGTCCTCCAACCTGAGATGCTCAGCTAGGAGGATGGAAGGAAACCTCTCAAATTCCAAGGCGTTTTCGGCGTTTTCTTAGGAAAAGGAGCTTTCGAAAGGCCCGCACATGCTGACGCTCAAAGGCCTTTAATAATCGATGCAGCTGCGGTAGAGGACATCATCTTCCTAACCGACCTCTAGCAGACTCTAGAAGTTTCCATGTTGCTTGAAGCAAAAAGGTTGAATTTAGCTGGGGAAGGTCGTCATGCGACACTAGATGTCAAAAGAAGAAAAACACTCAGCACACACCTCCCACAGATTATGGCACTCACTCACTGTGAAATTCTATGTATATATGTGTACCTGACAGCTAAAATATATCATATCGTTTTTTGGTGTTCAAGTAGCATGACCATGATGTTGGTACACCAAACATGGCTTCCCCCACCATGGCTTCCCCCAGAAGCGCGCAGTTCCGCTTCGGTGCTTTCCCCTCGTCCCCCGCCTGAGGCGCTTCGTGGCCTCGAGAAGCTCCTGTGCCCCCGGGTGGCTGAGACGGCACCGGTCCGGGTTGGTGAGCGTCGGCTTGAGCGTGGATCGTCCGGAGCGGCTCGGACGGCTCTCGGCCGACAGCGGCCGCTGGATCTGTGTCGATCTGTGGGGTTCGGGAACCGAGAAAAAGTCCCTTAAGGTGTGACAGCGGACAGTCCTGAGCTTTTCAGAGTGGCAGTTCTTAGTTCTAAAGTACTCTACATCAGGAAATGCCTTCCGTGATCCGTTCGCACGGATCCTTTCATGAGTCAACACAAGTCTCTTTCGACATTCAGTTCCAGCCGTGCCGTGCGAGATACAACGAGTCACTCGGCACGTCTCCGTGTCCTCCACTCTCCGTGACCCACCGAGATCACCCCAAATTCGAGTTGACTCGGGAAATTGCACGAAGTCGAGGAACATGCGTCGACTTCTCTTGAACCAACGGGCCAGTGCCCCTCTACGAGGTGTCGAGGTGTCCCCAAGACTCCGCGCCGTCGCTGCGACGGATGGGATTCGTCGTGTCGACCAATCCGCCGGTGATGCACTCAAAATTCGACTCGTTTCCCATGACTAGGCCGCACATTGGGCCTGCAAAGAGAACTCAGGCCGTATCAGGGCAAGACCTGTGCCGACATGGAAACGGTGCGAAAGTCGGAAACCATTGGATTCACTAACCTTGGAAACCATTGTACACTCCGTGAAAGAATCATGAAAGTGGATGGCATGGCCCCAATGATCCTTTGACTCTATAAAACAGGTGGTGAACTCCACTTCCATGGTTACTTCAGGGAGTGTATTTCTTCCTGTGCTAAAGACGATAGAAGCGGCGGATCTGTACGGTACAGAAAAGCGGAGGATCTGTGCGGCACAGTTCAAGAATGAGACCTACCCTAATAACCCGTTATGGACTCATGGACCTTCCTAAGAGGATAGGTCTTCGTTTTGGGTACCTAAAGGTACCCTTCCTAAATTGACCCTTACGATACCCTCCTAGCATCCGGGTAGGTGACATCCAACCACCAAGCAGAGCGGGCCAAAGACTTCAGGAGGATCAATTGGAGACGTCTCACATCTGATGTAGATGTATTTGGGACAAATATGGGATATACACACGCCCAAAGGAAATTGGTTCTGATACACCTAAACCCTGCGCCCGAATGTGAATGGAAGTTTGCCACTCGCGCCACTCCCTTTTGTTTAAAAAAAAAAAGAACGAAAATCCCCCCAGTCCGATGCTCATCTTCTCAGTCAACGGTGCTTTTTTGGATGGTTTTCTCGCTGGATCGACTCAAGTCAAGGGTCACAACCCCACGCTGCCTGACCAGTAGGCTGCTTGACTGATCGGTGGTTGGCTGGCAAAGGACTCCTAGGGCCGGGGCAGTGACTGATCGCTGCACTGAAAGAACTCAGTAGCTTTCATTGAGTGAAAGGTCTCCTCCCATTCATCCCAAGAAGGTGTCAGAAAAACTGGTGGAACCTGTAGTCTCAGTCAGACTGAAGCCGGGCCCATGCTTCGTAGGCCCATCCCATAGGCCCATGTGTCGCACATGTCTCAGCACCCACAAGAGCAGGCACCAGAGCAAGAGCACAAGAGCAGCACAACAAGAGCTCAAGGCCTTGTGATAGCACAAGGTAAAGACATGATAGCTCTGGTCCGAATTAGCACTGGCCCACTCGACCCTGCGAGCCCTCGCTTTCGAAAGCGAAGAACCAACGAAACAGACCGGCACAGCCCATCCCACCGGCGACGAAGGTGCGGGTTTTACTGAAAAACTGGCCGTTTTCGGGCGGTTTTCCTGCCATTCTGGACTGCGGCAGATATCTGCATCTTGGATCTTGGCACAAGTGGCACCTTTTTTAAAACTAGAACCATTCTGTGGGGTCATGCTGAACCTTGAACTCCCGAACCCTCTCCTGTTCAGATGCCGGGATGGTTTAGGTATATTATATGGCTGGGTCAAAACTGATCAACTCCAGTGGACCATGGAAATGTTCACAGGATAGACGACTAAGGAGGTGAACCTACCATGGTTGTGACCCACTGCCATGTCAGTATATCCCTGTGGATGTTCATGTTCGTTAGGCTACAGACCCTTCCCCCAAAGAGCGATCCCTCGTTTTTCCCGACGGCTCCAGACCAGTTTACTGGCCCAGCACACACCAGACCCCACCTCGCTATTACAACAATGAGACTCCCTAATGGACAGCCTTCATCCCCAAGCAAAGCACTGGTGATATCAGCATCATGCACACCAGATATCAGATCTTACCAGATCCGCACCTACCTGTGACCTCTGAGATCAACACCATTGCTTTGGATCCGACCAGATCCGACACTGCTGAAGCTTCAGCTCCTCTCTTTCCCCACAGCCGCCGCTTTCTCCAAGGTGCCAAGTCCCGTCGCAGCCGGTCAAGCTGCGCCTCAAAGCCTTGGAGGGGATGGGGGTTGAAACTCCTCAGGTGACCGAGAAATGGTGAAAATAGAACCGGAGAACTGTAGCGGAGTGCTGTTTTCGAAGATGTGATCCATTTTCAAGAGTGGTGGGCACCTGGGCCACATGGCCATGCTTTTGGATGTTAACGGGACAAACTCTTGAATCAATTGCAGTATAGACTGGGAACTTCAATGTCTAGCGAATGGAATTTTGATCTCATACAATTGGAGATGGCTCGGAGACAAGCTGATCCGAATGATGGAGACCTGGAGACCTCCAGGTCCACCTGGAATGAATTGAGGATGGGTCGTGACCCACCAAGGTCTGCCTGGTTCGCGTTTCCGACCGACACGGCGGTAGGTCGTGACCAGTCGGTGTCCTCGTGCCATTGCCCAAGGGAGATCCAATGCTTGTGGTGTAAACGATGTTCTGCATTGCTGATCCCAAAACCAAAGGTCTAGGATAACAACCGATTTTTGGGTTCCCAAGATCCAACCAAATTCTCTAGTTGGGTCACGACCCAAAATCTCTTTTCCCCAATTCATCCCATCTCCCATCTCGACTTTCACCCCCTTCACTCACCCCCTCACTCGCTTCGATTTCTCCGCTTCCTCCGCGTCCGGGCTGCTCCGCCGCTGCTGCGCCGCCTCCACGCCCAGCGCCGCGCGCAGCGCCGCGGCGGCGAAGTCCTCGAGGCGGTCGTCGAAGCCGCCGAAGAACAACTGGCAGAGCGTGGCAGAGGGAACGGGGTGAGGAACGGGGGGAGGGTATTCTGGGGGAGCTCCGGGGTTAGGAGCGCCAACGGTTTTTGGGGAGGGGGAGAATCAAGGACTAAAGGGATTTCCAAACCAAAAAGGAGCCGGAGGGAAAATGATTCTTCAGGTTCGTGTTGATCGGGTGAGACAAAGAGATGTCCCGTGAAAGTTCTGATCCTCAACATGGATTGTTTTAGCCCTAAGCGACTACACTGAGTTAGCTAGCGCAAGCTACACAAAAAGTGCGGAGCGCACGCGACCCGTGTTTTGTCGGTTGGGGGAATTGTGCAACTGATTCAGGGGTCCTATGCCAGTCTTCGCAGGCATGTCCCCCCATACAGGAGAGGTAGCTCCGAAAAAAACTAAAAACCATATTGTTTGTTTTTTTTTGGGGGGGTGCGCGCTTGCTTGAAGCAGTCTTATCGCCCACTCCTTTTTTCTCCGAGCTTGAAGCAGTCTTACCGCCAATTTTCGGTGGACCACCGATCATTCCGCCAGGCCCACCATGAGTCTTGTTGGCTGTGCTGCCATGACCTTGACGACGACCACAGCGGATCGTCGTTGTGTTGACGTCCAGAACTGGTCCACTCACAGACTCACAGCTTCGTCATCTTGTGGCACTGTAGCGGGCTGTGACCTATCTGGAGCGGATCGCTCACAGTCCCATGGCGGTGGTTGGCTCCGGGAGCAGTCGGGTTGTTCTCCTCGCTGCTCGACCTTCCACTGTCGCTTCCATTGTCGGTCCTTGCTCCTTTCTTCAAGGAAGCCTGGACGCAGGACTCGTGCTGGGGCAGCCTCTGACCATGCGCGTGGCAAGTCTGCGAAGCTCTTCCCCCCCCTTTTGCAGAAGCTTGGCTTCGACGCGAAGCACCTCTAACTTCTGGCAGCATCTTTTCCAGGCATTGGTTCTGAGCCGCTTCTGGACCTCTGGCGTTGCATTCATACATTCTTGCGAGTTTCCTTCAAGAAGTTGGTTGTCCTCAGCCTTTTCTTCTGCAGTCCTGTCATCATCTTTATCATCATCATTTTCATCATCGCCCCAATCCACTTCGAAGTACGAAGTGTGGCACACCTTGCATGGACTGGGCGTGCGATGATGTTTCCCGGGGCTCCTTGCTCTCCGAGGGGGGAGTGTGGCTTTTGGACATGGCGGAGCTGCGGTGGGAGCTTTGCGCTTCAGAGGCTGTTGTGTTGAAGCCGTTGCCGACGCTGTGCCCTCCTGAAGCCATGGCAGCGCGCTTGAGTGAACTTGATAGCCCATGGCCCATGGATTCTCCGGCCTTGCAGCCTTCCTAATTTTCTGGGGCGGAACGCCCTCTGGCGGTGGCTTCCCGGCAGTGGGTTTGGGCCGGCCCCAGCGGTTCTTGAAGGCGCAGGCCTTGTTGAAGAGGCCTTGTGGGTTTGGGCCGTCCAGGAAGCGGCGTCGGGCCCCTCGAATGCCACGCAAATCACACCCGACCCGCAGAGCGGCGCAGACCCAGCGACGCCAGGGCGTACATCCGACCCCTTGCAGAGCACTGGTGGTTGGTGGTTGGTGGTTGGTGGTTGGTGGAAGACCGAGCGGATACAGCACTAAAAACAAAAACCCCACACATCAATGTGGTTGGTTGGTTGGGTGGCTGGCTGGCTGGCTGGTTCGTTGGTTTGCTTGGGTTGGGTTGGTTCGGGTTGATTAGGGTTGGTTTGTGTTGCCTTGAGTGTGCATGTGTGTGTGAAACCCTTGGAGTCACAGGGATTCCTTTGAATTTGTTTCTTGATTAGCAGGGGAGCAGTGCACGACTGACAGACACTGCCCAACGAAAACGCTGTCAGCTCGTGGTGAAGCAATGTGGGACGCCACATTGTCTACCTGCAGTGATCAACGTTCATTTCCTTTTGGGGCCCGTTGTAACTAGAACAAGCTGACCAGCCTTTTCTTCGGTTCACCATCGGCTGTCACGCACTTTGCTTTTGATTTTGAGTCTTGGCCTTGAACTTTGAACCTTGATGGTCTTTGGAGCTTTGGGAGGCTTTTGGGAAGCGTTACATTTTACTCACCCTGGTTCCTTAGGTTTTCACTTAGGCTGGCGTGTGGCAAACAGCAATTTGTTGGTTGGTTGTTTGATTGTTTGTTTGTTTCTTGGTTCGTTGGTTGTTTGCTTGCTTGCTTGCTTGCTTGCTTGGTTGTTTGTTTGGTTGGTCGGTCGGTCGGTTGGTTGGTTTGTGTGTATTAACAAATGATGCACCATGTTCTTGTGCGTTCTTGGGATGTCAGTGAGTTCTATGTTGCCTAGAAGTCCAAGACTATGTTTGGGACCACAGAAGTTGTGGAAATTCCCGTTCGGGTCACCGAAAGCGAGACTATATACAATACAATACTATTTGTATATGGTCCCAGGGCCCTGCATGGTTCCACTCCCTTTCATCCACCCCAACCACACCAGCCGCGCCCCACCTGGACGCCACGTGTGGAGGTACTCAAGCTGAAGGAAAGGCCTCTTCAGCTCTTGGAGTTTGGATCTATCAAGCCCTACTGTATTTTACAGGATCAGCTCTAATAGTACTAACTACCTAGCTAGCCCTGCTAGCCCGGTAAGCGCTACCTTTTGCTCTACCTTGAGAGTCAACGCTACGGGGTCCATGGGGATGAGGTGAATTTCAACACCCCCCTTTACAAGGAGCTACCCGTAGGGAAAAATCTCGGGGAGGATCAAATTCTAGCGACGAAGGAATCATATTAGAAATCCCTCATCAAGCTCGTGCATGCACTATACAAGGAGAACGTAGCTACCCTAATGTACAGTTTTCGCCTCACTCGGCATGTGGTTAAACATGCTAGGCCCAGGTTAGTGTTAAGCATTGATTAAAAGTTCACTCTCCGACTATGGCAATCCTGTTATGGATGCATTGGGAAGTGAGACAATGAAGTGAAACATCATCTCACAGCGCGTCAGAAGGTGATCTTTATCTCAACACTCATAAGCTGCAAGGCATACCATTTATGGTAGCTATTCAACATCTGCTTAAAGAAATTGTATTCCAAAACGCTCCGTCTCGTCATGCCATCCCTGCCTCAACCACTCCCACAATTCCATGTGATTGGGCCAATAGTTCTCGCCCCATGGGTCATCGCGTTGCCATTGTACTCCAGGAAAATCAAAGGGTTCCAATGGTCGATCAATAGTTCCACGAATGCGGGAAGTCGGCGGCCCAGTTAAGGGTGCATTATGTGACGATGATGCCGAAGCGGATGAAGTTCCGGGTGGCAATGGCGGCGGTGGCAAGTTTTGTACATTCCATTGCTGTGGAGCATAAGGTCCTCCTCGAACACTCACCTGCTGCTTATCCTTGCCCTTTCCTTTTACGGAAGGTTGCAACCGACTGTAAAGGTCTGTAAGCGGCGGCGGCTTCGGCGTGAGATTGAAATCTGTCGGCCTTGTATGTACCGGAATGCCACTGGCTGTATTGGGTGGCACTTTCGGTGGAGGAACCTTTGGAGGAGGCACCTTTGGTGGTGGGACCTTCGGAGGTGAAGGTTTGGCTGGACGTGGCTTGGAGATTGGTGAAAGGCCAGTTGCAGGTGGGTTGTTGGGCGCAGGTAACGGTGGCGGTGAAGTTGGGGGACCCAAGAGGTCCTTGGGGATGTTGCCACGTTTAGGTGGAAGGACACGGCTCTGGGAAATTGCTCGGGCGACAGAACCACGCGGCGTCCCTTTTGCGGGAGCGGCTAAGCCTGCTGCCGAAGAGCTGCCTTGGCCTTTGCCCTTTCCAGAAACATCTCTCCGTTCACCGACATCCTGTTTAGAGGAGTCACCCTTTCCTGAAACTTGTCCTTGAGCAGGAGGTGCATTCATACGGAATACCGACGAGGTATGCGTCCCTGTTACGGGAGCTGGCGGCTGAGGCACGCCTGGCGGTGGAGTCCGGTTGTCAACCCAAGTTGCAATACGACCAGATTGATCTCGGTCTTCTTTCCTCCTCCACTGCAGCCTCGGTCGTTTGTCTGCATCTCCAATAGTCTCCATGTACATCTGCGATCGCTTCCGCGTCAACGGGGGCCTTGTTACAGGTCCTTGAGGAGATGGTGCTCCACGCTGTCCAAACTCAAGCAAGATCTCTTCAAGCCGTCGAATCTCGTCAGACGACATGTCCTGGCCACAATCGGCAAACTTGGGATAAGGCGTGGCCATGCGCTGTTCGATGTTCATGAAGCCCATCTGTGAAACTGGCTGTCCACGATCGCGTCCCTGCACACTTGCAGACTGTTGCGCGTTTCTCTGATATTGAATGTTTGCATAATTTTCATTCTGCTCTGCAAACTCACTCAAAATCTTGTAAATGCCTGTCGTGTCTCCACGAGGAATACGAATTGAATGAATATCGCCATAGACGTCCGTCGTGGGGATAAAGCCCTGGATCTTGATCTCATCTCGGCTATCGCCAATTACGGCGGCGTATTGTCGGAGTGACATAAACTCTCGGCGATAACTGATCAGAAAGTTCTCGTCGACGCCTTGCTTGAAACAGGTATGTAGGTTGTCAACACCGCATCGAATATACGCGAGCTTGGCGAGGTCAACCCTGTCCAGTCGATCCAAATCACTGACAACCGACTTCCCTTTTGATCTCTGCTTCGCTGATCTCGTGGGTGCCGGTAATTGCAGTGACGCAAACAAGTCTTCTTGCGCTGCATCAAACGCTGTGCATCCTTCTCCGGTTAAGGAGGTAGCGAAGACGTCGTCGCGGTTGAATCGATCGAATACATTCTCATACCCTGATTTCAATGCTTTGCGAAGGCGGCCGCGAGCTGCAAGAATAATCTGACTGTCAACTGACGGGCTACCACGAGCTGGAGGTCGTCCAGACTGTAGGTCCTGCGCGGCAATGCTGTCAAGCATGCTTGTTGCGGTCATGTTCTTGGGCACGCCCCCCTGCTCTTGTAGCACCTTTGCACGCCTCATCTGAAGTCGCATAAACTTTGAAATCGGTCCATCTGTTGTATTGCTCTGAAATACTACTCCGCATCGATGACAAGATGCCATTCCTGCTAAGGAAAGTGTCGTACATTTATCGCAGCTGAAAGTTCGAAGATGTAGAAAATATCCACTCTCGATCTGTGGTACAGCTGTATTGCGATTTGCCTCCATCTCTTCCGTCTTTGCGGCACTGCTGCTAGCTGTGCGTTCTTCGGGAGTGGCGTCGCTTGTACCTTCCAAAATGGTGCGTACTTCCGACACTTTTCCCGGGACCAATGTCACATCATCTTGCGGAACACCGATCTCAATGTTCGAAGGATCCAATGCCTGCGGCCTCGAATAGAAAACTTCTGGCTCCGCATTTGCGCGGGCTCGAGTTGCAAATAGAATACACGTATTCGGAACGTGATGGCTGGTAATCACCGCGCCAGAATTTGTGAGGAAAAGATCAACTCCTGCTTCAATCACATCCGGTGTTGAAAAACAAATCTCCACTGGTCGGTCAGCACGAACACCAGATATCGCCTTCTGGTTTCCCAGAGGTTGTGTTGAAAAGAAGGAATTGCCTTTGCTTTTCGGTCCACCGGCTCCACCGCCGGGAATGAGCCCGCTCGCAATAATGGATCGCGCAGCACCTTCATGCGTTCGGTGGTAAAGCCGAGGTGGTATATCGCAATTCCCGCGCGCTGTCAAACGAGCATTGTACCTGTGTACATGATCAGGACGGCAGTAGATTAGTACTGCTAGCACTTCATTTGATCGCGTCTCGAGAACGTCGTCAGTGTGGCCTTGTCCACATCGGATCTTGACGGGGGCGGCGAAAAGTTCGAGCTGCTCGTTCACACGAGAGTCGTACACGCATTGAAATTCGAAACGATCTTTGTGGTCATAAATAGCCATCGAAATCAACTCAAAAACATTCATAGAACCAGCATAATCAGGGAATTTGGCCTTCGCCAAATCTAGTAGTTTGTAAATTGGCAAATAACACGCCGGATCATAAATACTGACGTCTGGGACGTGTCCACGAAGAAGACCAGAAATACCGCGACGAACATGAGGTGGCCAGGAGCAGCACCACTCCCAAGGCCCATGATGATAATCCTCATATACATAATAGTACCTATGGCCAGTAACGTGGTACAGCACGTACTGCTTGGCGTCGCGGCCCAGCTCATCCTCGAGGAGTTGGATGTTGCCATTCCCGATGGCCTTGAGTAGGTGATCCGGGTAAGGATACCTTCCGAGAACCTCTTCAACCTCGACCTGCATATTTTTGTACTCGGGGTTAGGCTTCGTCTCGCGAACGAGAACGCCCTTCCCTTTTCCAGAAAATTTCAAGTCGGGGTTGTCGTTGTTCTCAGGTGCAAGAAAGCTCCCCGTTACGGGAGCGGCCGAAGGTGTGCCTTGTCCCTGCCCTTTGCCTCGCAATCGCGGCAATGGTGGTCTCGGGTCAGATGAAGACGCTTGACCCTCTGCGGGTTGGTCCGCGTCCGTAGGGATCATAGGAACATCTCCGGTTGCACCTTCTTCAACAGTCGTTTCATCATCAGCCAAAACATCAAGAACCTCGGCCTCGATCTTCGCCATCTGTGGATCAGGTTCTGGTGCTGTCGGCAAGGCATTTACGCCTGCGATACCAGTATCAGGCCCAGGTACTTCGTCGGTTGCGCCTGTATAGCTATCGGGCATCTCAACGTCCGCGTCGGTTTCCTCAACCTTCGGCTCGACTTTTACGTCGGCTGTCGCAACGTCATCCATCGGCTCGTCCACTGCGGGCTGTTCCTCCGGTAGCTCAATAACAGGTACAACATTGATAAACTGCAACACATCTTGAGGATCTTCGCCTTCCAGATTAACGGAGGCCTTGAGCTCTTCGAGTGACACGTCATTCGTCTCAAAGGGGCTGTACGCTTGTACTTCCTCGACAGTAAACTGCCTGCTCTTCCCCAACGTCTGTTGCATTCGCGCGTTTCGCTGTTCAACAAATTCATTGATAAGTTGTAAATACGATTCCGGTATCTTGACTGTCGCTGAGGAATCCCAACTGTATTTAAATCTTCTCACCCTGTTGAGCGCGGCAATTCCCTCTCGGGAAGCTTCAACGACGTTGACATGGTACGACAATTTGACAATCGAGGTCACATAGTTCACGAAGCGATCGATGTTCTCCTGCGTCTTTCGCATATGCCATTGATCAACTTTATCGGATTGGTAAACCAGATTGTCAGGCTGGAATCGGTGTATGCCGAGACTCTCAATGATGTCGTTGATTTCTGCCCAGAAAATATCGACAAACGAAGGCAACTCAAAAAGATAAGAAGATATTCCACATATACAGCAGAGCTCGTCGGAGATCTCCTTGCATTCGGCTAACAGTTTAACGTTGCCAAGGATGCGCGCCTGCGTACCGAGTCTGTCGGGATTTGCAGCCTCATAGCGCCACGTAGAATCATTGGGCGTGATTCCGTTCCTGCCGACGAGGTCGTTGCCGTTCCACCAAATTAAACCAAAGATGCG